AGCTTGCTGTAAGGACACTTGGGAGCCAACACCGAGAAAAACAGTGAGAAAGAGAGAGAGAGAGTGTGAGGAGGGATGATTGTTGTCGTTTGTGTGCCTACATTGCGTATACGTAATTTGCCAAGACTGTTGCCAAAGTGGCATTTGAATTTATGCCGCCACTTGAGGCAAGTGTGGCAAGCCCAGGGTGAGTGCTTCTGCATTCGTATGAGTTTTTCTCTCTACACACACGCACACACACACGCACACTTCTACAAACGTAGAAGTATGTACGTTCTTTGCTGGTGGAAAAGCTGGAAAAGCTGGAAAAGCAAAGAGTGCGCTTTATTTTAAATTAAATATGCAAATACTATATATATTCCTTGCACCCACACATAAGCTGGCTGCTGGCACTTGTTTTCTTGTTGGGTTGTCTGCTGCAGACAGGCAACATAAATTATTGTAAGCAGATGAAATATTTGTGGATGAATTTGTTGCAGCTGTCGAGTGCAGCCATCGGACATTGTTCACTCGTTCCGGGAATATTTCTCCAGCGAAACTTTAAGCTGCACTTGGAAAATATCTCTTAGAAGTTATTGAATAATAAATACTAAAACTTTTTACAAACTGCACTGACAAAATATTCTAAAAAATATTTAAAACTGCAGAAAATATTAAAGAAATATTTTGGTTTAGAACATTTTATCCAGATCTTACCACTCTTTACATACTCTTCTTTCTTTAAATTTGTATATTTTATATTTAAATATTTAAACTTTATAGTTTACTATACTTATTATTCAAAGTGCACTCAGAAAGAAAGATGAATAAAATAGGGGAGATGCGGGAACTCACACAGGATGTTCTCGGTGGAAGATGAAGCTGGCAATTTTATCATTTTTCACTTTGGTAAACAAACACAAAAGGAGCAAGGGGGTTAAGGAAAATATTGCGGCTTTTGTTGTGGCAACCTTAATCGCCCCTCCCCCCCTCCCTTCCCTTCGTCATTTCCAAGCCCCTGCATCCACCGCACCACCCCTCCTGCGATCGAATGTCATTCAAATTGTAATTTCTGCAGCCTCCATCGTCGGAGAACAATCGATAAAAAAGGATAAAGCAAAGAGCACAACAATGCAGGGATAACAATGGAGCAAAAGCACAAAAAGAGAGAAAAAAGCAGAGGGAATCCAGGAGAAAAGCGGTGGGTAAGCGAGGGCAGACAGTCAAAAGCAAACAATAAACAGCGAAATCATTCCATGCATCCCCCTGGAAAAAGCTGGCATTGTGCAATAACAGCACGTTTCGAAATTGTAAAATCAATTTTAAGATGTAAGAAGAAAAACATTACATACTTTGTAGCCTAAGAGGTGCCTTTGCAATGTAGTTATCCCAAGAAGATGTTTTAAAATGCGAATTGTATTAAGGAACTTAAAGTAAATATTAAAATATTCCTTACCTTAATTAAGATTTATACCACTTTTTCTGCTGCTTTTCAAAGAGTAATCCTTATCCATTTAGCACTGTACTATAAGCTGGTAACATTTAAATTTTCTGGCCTTAAGCAGTCCTTGGCTAATAGGCCAAGTTGGCTCGTTCTGCAAACATTTGCCCAGCACTTTGGCGAGGCTTTGCCTTTGCCTTTGCCATCCTGCCATCCTTGTGCTAATGAGCGAACAAAGGGGGGAAAATCCCCATTATTACAGCCAGAATTCCAAATTCAGCAGGTCTTTTTCGAGTTGTTTGTCAAAATTAACAGGAAAAAAGCAAAAATTTTCTTTTTTAATCATACATACATATGGGTCAGTTGCAATGCACGCCCGAAGATGCCGCCCTCAGACCGGATTTAATCCTCATCCGTAGCTATGTTAGTTATAAGGGTTTTCCTCCCGATTGCGTTAGCAACTATGATATATCCATGATCGTTAATAACATCAGGGTCGGAGGGGTGATGAGATCGAGAAGTTGCAAGAGTTTTCCCACAGTCGAAGTTAAATTGTGTTTCGGTGAAGCAATGGGTAAGGCTACTAAAAGTTTCTGCTTTAAATTTATATTTACTATCAATAAAAGTTTAGCTAAGATTATTTTGCCACTCAATGTGCTGTCAATTTTGTGTGTTTAAACAAACAAAAATTAAATTATTCCATCCTCTAGGCTAGATTAATTATAGATAACTATCAGAAGACATGAAAATATCAAGTATACGCCTGGCTGTTTGTCACAAGTCACAAGTAATTGATTTGCCAAAGAAATTGGCTTATTTATAATTCAATAATTCAATGGGCTTACCAAAAATTTAATGAAAACAATCTCGTTGGAAACGGAAGTGTGAATATTCTATTAGGAGCTTAATTTCAGGCTCACTAAATTGAATTTTTCGCATTTATAGAAATTTATATATATCCTTTTCTAAGCTCTTTTAATTACTTTTATTTTGAAGTCATTAGGTAACTTTTGATAAGGGAATTATCTTCATCTCTATTTTGTCCCTTTTTGAGTGCTCTGTCTCTCAGTCACTTAGGGCATTTATTTACCTGCCTCGCCTGCCTTACACCCTCTTTTCAGCTTCAACTGTCAAAAGTCGGCCTCATCAGTCATTGCTACTCTTCGCCCCTTGCGTAGCTTTCACTTGACATTTATCATCATCATCATCATCATGCCCAATACCATTCCCAGGGCCCATCATCTATATCATCTTCATCATCGCCATCGTAGCCATCATCATCATCCTGGCGAGCGCGACGCGCTTTAACCTTCAGAAGGCATTTTCATTTAGCGGCCTTCCTCTCTTCGGCTTTGTTTGTCAGCTCGCCACTTTTGTGACTTTTCCAGACCCCCACCGTTTTGCCCTTTTCCCTTATTTTCACCCTCTCGTCGTTGGTCCTTAATTAAAAACGATTAGTAATTCCTGTTCAGCCATCGGGCCAAAGGTCGTTTGCTGCAGCACCATTAAATATGCAATGGAAATACTTTAATTATACAAATAACCAGGGATTAAGAGTAGGCAAACTGACTTCTACAGAAAGTAACTTTTCATTGTTGGCACTTTGGACTTTTCAGGCATTTTTCTGCCATCGAGAATGTATATATATATATCGTCCTATCGCCTTGGCCAAATCAAACGGAAGTTGTTCGTTTCGCGCGAAATATGAACAAGTTAGGAATTCTGTGTATGGGGGTGTGGCTATATTCGAGCCCTTGGAAAAACGAAAGAAATTGGTAACGAAATGAATTCGTTTTCGAATGTCAGGCACGCAAACTTTGCCTACCATCATCGACCTACTCCACGAATATTCTATTATTTGTACTTTTTTCTAGGGGTTTAGGCGGGTGAAGGTTTAAGGGGGCTTTTTCCTACCCCTGGTAACCACAATTGGTCTGGGTTTCGTTTGCACGTTACTCGTTTTGTGGTTTAGCATGGTCTGTAGTTTTTTTTTCTTTTTTTTTTGTTGTTTTTCGTATTCCTGCGGTCCCTGAACGAAAACTAAGTTGAGTTTTTGCTTCTGGCTTAGCTGGATTTTGTGGTGCGTTGTGGGAGCTGGGCTTAAGTGCATTTCACCGAGGTTAACTAGCCGGGATGTCTGACTTTTCTAGGGGTTAATTTGGGTTTACCATTGGCGGAGGTTTTAGTCGGGATATCCTTTTTGTGGTTTCTACTTTCATATTCCCATCTTTTTTCCCATAAATTTATTACAGTTTTTGGAATTATCTTTTATTTATGGTGTTTATTTCCTAGGAAAATGTCATTCGAGTTTCGTTTTTTTTATCAAGAAATAATATATTGCCTTTTTTAATGGGTATCTTATCTTCCGTTTTTGTGAGTTTATATTTATTTTATTTTGCATAAATTGTATATGAAATTTGTGAACTTTTGTTTGCTGTTTATGGAAACATTGCAAATATTTTTCTGTATTTTCTTAGGAATATTACCAATCGGAAATGCTAAAAAATGTCAGTTTTTATCGTTTGTTAGCTAGCTTTGATAGCACTTTAATAATAGCAACAAAATCAATAGAAAACTTATTTATTAATAAACAAAAAATATATTATTTATAGTCCAACAAAATACTTTTTCTACCAAGAACATAAATATAATCTTAAAGACGAAAACTGTGAAAATTGTCTGCTTGAAAATTGCTTTAATTTTCTTCCCATGAATATTTTAACTATAATTTCTTATTGCTGCGGGACAGTTGCACTTTTTGTTTTGTTCTTGGCAGTTACTTAGCATATTAAATTCAACCACTGCGTTTCTCGTTCTCGCCACATTCTTGGCTCCTTGGAGTTTTGCTCCTTTGTCTTTGTCACCCACTTAACTTTTTACATGGTGAAAAGTCAAAGTTACAACGCCAACTTGAATACAATAATGCCGAATGGAAGTTTTTCGCTGGCTTAAGGCTGGAGGGTAACAGCGGGATCCCAGTGGCTACAGGGTTAAGCTTTCAAGGAATCCAAAAATAAGGGGGAAGCGAGGGTTGGGTGGTTTAAGCAAGACTAGTGAGAAACCGCCTTGTTTTCGATTTCAGCCAGCGATAAGCGACAAACAACGCATTAAATGTCGTTTTCCCTGGCTATTTTCGGTATGGCATTGGGTTAAGTCATAAAAAATTGAAATGTAATTGATTGGAAGTTTGTTGTAGGCAGAAAACTAAGGAGGAGGCGAGCAAATAACGGAGCATTGACGTAGTCGCCTGGCCAAATTAGTTGGCCTGTAATTTTAGACACCATCGGAAGTCGTTGAGCTCTGAGTTATTCTGACGGATGGCTAGCCGCGACGTTGATGATGACATTGGCAAACAGTTGACATGACGGCAAAGTTCACAAAAAACTTTAACCATTAAACTCAATTACCAGGAAAGTTGGGCTCCTATTTAACAGACGATGCCATATTTTTGTAATTCTCGTTTTCATAGTTGAAAAACTGTGATTAAAAACGTATCTTAAATGAGAATTATAACGCTTTGTTTAAGCGGAAAACTATTAAAACCTCAACTTAACGTCAAATACTCTCGAATAACTTTTAGGAATCTCTTCCTTGTCGAGCTGCGGCGATCCTGAACGTCTGCCGGAGTTGCCACCGCTGGACGAGCAGCGTCTTCAGCGGGCCGCATTGCATCTGCAGCAAAAGCTAATCCTTCGCGAGTGGTTAAGGGATCACCGACTGCAGCATCACTACCAAAGATTGCTTGCCGTAGAGGTAGCCTCTTTGGAGGACGTCTATTGGCTGGAAGATTCGCGGGCCAGCAAGATTCTTGGCAAAGACTGGCAATTGTGGTCAGGAGCCCGGCAGAATTTGCCCACATCCAAGGCTCAGTTGGACGCCCTCAAGGCGCAGCTCTGGTCGACGGTGGTCAAGAGCAGTCAGCACCAGGACGCCTGGACATGGGGAGGCATGCTGGTCGTATCCGTCTCAGTCGCCGGCCTTGTCACCCTGGCTGCCATGACGCAGCCCTCATTGGCCCCAGAGGCCCGTCATTCCCTGTTGCAATACGTCACCGGGAAGTATCTGCTGCCTGCCAATTGCAAAGTGCAGTGGGACTGGAAGGATCCCGCCAGTGTTGGTGGCACCATGTGCTTCGTGGTGCGATTCTTCCAGCGAAACGGACAGCCATATCCCATCTGTGATACGGACCAGTTCTTTGTCGAGGTCACCGAGGGCACTCGCAAGGTGGTCACCATTAGCGAGCTGGGCTCCTCCACCGATCCCAACAACGCCAACATAGCCAAGGTCAAGTTCACAGTCCGAACCGCTGGCCAGTACAAGATATCCGTGCTGATCGGAGCAAGTCACATTGCCGGATCACCCTTTATGCGATCTTTTCTGCCAGGTGCCATTGATGCCAGGCGATCGCGGTTCATTAGGCCAGCCAGCACGGTCATCTGCTGTGCTGGTGCACCCACTCTGATGCACATCGAACCACGGGATGAGTTCGGAAATTCCTGCTTGTTTGACCAAAATCAGTCGGATGAGGCTCTACAGGTGAGGATCTTAATAATGTTTCCTGTAAATGTTTCTCCAACTCTAATCATTGTTCTACTTATAGGGCTACCAAGTGGCAGTATATGACTTGCATGGAATCCCAGTGGAGAAGCTGCAGCATGCGATTGTCTTTGCCTATGACAGGGTCAACTCCCGGGTCTCGGTCACAGCTCTCTTTCCAGAGCCAACTTGTCTAAGGGCTGTGATCAGCTACCGGGATCAGCAGCTGCCTAACGGGGACTTTGACATCATTGTGCTTAGCAGTAAGTGGTGGTAAAAATCTTAAAAAAATGTATATTATATTTGATGACCTCTTCCAGGCAGCGATACTACCCTGGTGCACAAGAATATAGCCTCACGGAAGCATAACATCTGCTACGAGGCAAAACTGCTGAGCATTTTTGGGGTATCCAAAAACAAACCGAGAAAGGTGCTCTGCTATGTGGGACCCAAGCAGGTGAGTGGTCATAACAAGAATACAATGATATTGGGGGAAATGTGAGGGCTCAGAACTCCCTGATCTTCCAGGTGACTATCAAGGAGATGATCCTTAAGTTTATACCCAAGAGGATCGCCACTTTTCGACTGTGTCCTTCGACCAAATTCCATTTCCTGCCACAGTTGGTCTCTCAACTGCATGGTCCTGTTTTTATCATCGACGACGGAGCTCAGCCCAAGATCGAGTTGGCCTCAAAGGATCGGAATATTATAGCTGCCACTTTTACACACTTTTTGCTGAAGAACATTGGCGGATCAGAGACTTTCAAGGATAAACAAGACTTCTTCTATCATGAGGTTCGCAAATTCCATGCTAGTTATTATCATGAGAAGATGGCTCTGAAAGTTCAGCGGGAAAAGATCTTGGAGAGCAGCATGAAGGCAGCCAAGGGATTCTCGGTGTCCGACTGGTGTGGCAATTTCGAGGTTACATTTCAGGGCGAACAGGGCATTGATTGGGGTGGCCTGCGAAGGGAGTGGTTTGAGCTGGTCTGCAGTGCCCTCTTCGATGCTCGCGGAGGTCTCTTCTGTACTTTCCATGACAAGCACCAGGCACTGGTTCATCCGAATCCCACGCGTCCTGCCCATTTGAAGCTGAAGCATTTTGAGTTCGCTGGTAAGATGGTGGGTAAATGTCTGTTCGAGAGTGCTCTGGGTGGAAGCTATCGTCAGCTGGTCAGAGCCAGATTCAGTCGCTCTTTTCTGGCACAGCTGATAGGCCTTAGAGTTCACTACAAGGTATGTCACATAAATCTTATAGTAAATCACTGATTAACATGAGTTCTTTGCATTATCTTTCTAGTATTTCGAGCAAGATGACCCAGACTTGTACCTGTCCAAGATCAAGTACATACTGGACACCGATCTGGATGCCACGGATACCCTGGAGCTGTACTTCGTGGAGGAGATGTACGATGCTAGTAGTGGGCAGCTGAGCAAGACCATTGAACTGATTCCTAACGGGGCCAAGACTCGAGTGACCAATGCGACTAAAAACCAGTACCTGGACTCTTTGGCTCAGCAGCGTCTCTGCAACAGTGTCAAGGATGAGGTGGACAGCTTTTTGAAGGGTCTGAACTCCATTATACCAGATAATCTACTCAGCATATTCGATGAAAACGAACTGGAGGTGAGACAAAAATTTATTAAAAATCGAAACACATGCTAAACTGCAAGCAAATTAATTAAATTTACAGGAGAAATTAGCTTTTACGTTATTTAATAATTAAATTTTACCGCATTATATAAATATTTTCCCTTTTGCAGCTGCTGATGTGCGGAACTGGGGAATATTCCATCAGCGACTTTAAATCCCATCACATCGCTAATGGTAATTCGGCGGAGTTCCGGCGGGTGCTGGCCTGGTTTTGGGCCGGAGTAAGCAACTTCAGCCAGACGGAGATGGCCCGGCTGCTGCAGTTCACCACGGGATGCTCCCAGCTGCCGCCAGGAGGATTCCAGGAGCTGAATCCACAGTTTCAAATAACTGCGGCCCCAACCTTTGGCAATCTGCCCACGGCACACACCTGGTGGGTGTAGTTTTTTCCCATGAAATTTATTTTCTTTTAATCTCAGCATTCACTAAAAACGAAACTTTTTCGATTACAGCTTCAACCAGCTGTGTTTGCCGGACTACGAGAGCTACGAGCAGTTCGAAAAGTCGCTGCTTTTGGCCATCAGCGAGGGCAGCGAGGGATTCGGCATGGTCTAGATATATATTTATATATATATATGGTATATAGGATAATGGAAGAGAGTGAAGCAATACTCCTCGATTTTTGTCTGCTACGCTACTGTGTTCCTTTCTGTGCGCTTTAAATGTCATGCTAGCAACTAAGTGACCTAGTCCGTAAGCTTGCCTAGTGATAAATTGCAATTAAATTTAGTCCCTGGCTAGATATATTATTATCCCTCAATGGGAGATCCCTTTGAAGCAATAATAATCACGGATTAGCCGGAGTAGCGAGTGTAGTTATAAATCGAGTCAAGATGCAAATTAAAACCGAGTATATATCATCATCAAAAGGAATGTGATAATTGTATTATAGACTAATGCAACCTAAGCGTAATGGGAAAACTTTTAAACTACCTATCGGTAAAGCAAAATAAGTAGCCATTAAAACCAAAAAAAAAAAAAAAAAACAAACAAAAAACTATTCTTATTAACGATTAGTTGCGCTGTGTAAAGAAACCCAAGAAAATCTAGTGGAAAACCAAGAGTTTTGTAGCATACTATACTTAAAATTAATTGTAAACGTTAAAAGGTCTAAAACATTCACATAGAGCAATGTTTATATGCATTTCTTCTAATAAAAAACCAAATATATATATTGCCAAATTGTGGCACAACTCGAATACAATCCCAAATCCTTCTCCCTCGCTGTGCTCTCCTATAAGCAATATGTGGAAGCAAATGTTGAATCGTAGTTTTTAAATGTTGTTGAATCGCAAAGCAAAAATCAAAGATGTCATACAAATTAAAATTTAGTAAATGTAATGGAATTGTAGTTGTTGAGAGAACTCTAAAAAGCTTATATATATATATATATATCAATCGATAGGCGGAAGGTTGGTTCAAATGGTTAAAAATAATAAAAAAAAAAATGTACTGTTTAGAACGGAGGTAATGCTGTTGGTTTATTAATTGATCTAGTCGAATTGTTGGGAATACTTCATCCTAAATGCTAAATACTTATATAATTTCTATATTATATAGGTATAAAAACCGGTGTCATAAGTGCGGTACAACTTTCTTTCCAAGGTCCCCGGAGGTCACCTGCAGAAACTCCACTTCGAGGAAAGCCAATGAACTCAAGGAGAGTTACGCAAGAGTCCATGTTAACCGTATTAAAATGCCACTAAAACTGGGTAATTTCTGAAAACTGTACTTCGGTTTTGGGTCTTTTATGACACGATATATAATGATGTATGACCAAGTGAGAGTTGGGAGGAGCGTGAGTGACAAATTACTTGGGAGCCAATCAACAATTTCTAGCCGTCAAAACGCGTGCTCATCCAGTTGAATGTGCCTAAATGTGTGTGTGCGCCGGCGATTTAAACAATTATTAGCAACTAATTAGAGTATGGATACCACGGAAGGGCTGAATGCAGCCAAAGGAGAAAGTGGATTTTGTCTAGAAGTGTGCACAGAAAACTGTCACTTTCTATAGGGGCACGCGTGCCAAAAAGCAAATCTCTCCGGGCAGGGTCAAAACCAGCATCGGTGTGGGTTGTTGGGTAATATCTTTGGGGCAGAGATGAAAGTGAAATGCCAGAATCAGAAGAAAGTCCGAAAAGAAAAGCCTCTGACCCGAAGGTTAATCTCGAAACTATTTTTTTTATGTTTTAATGTTTTTTTTTAAAACAATAATATATTAATTTATTGTATGATAATAAAAAAAAACTTTATTTTAAGAGGAGTTCGTTTTTAAGAAAAGTTATGGCATTAATTTTAGTGGTTTGATGATTATGATAAGGGCTATTAATAGATATATCCAACAATGTGGCTTTTAGATGATTTACAAACACTTCGCATTTGTTTGGTCAACAAAGCGTATAATTCGATTTTGACACCAATCAGCAAAAGCATCGGTGGTTCAGTGGTAGAATGCTCGCCTGCCACGCGGGCGGCCCGGGTTCGATTCCCGGCCGATGCAAATTACTTTTTTTCTACCATTTATTTTATTTCAGCCATTAAATGTGTTTCTACAATTCGTCAGAAATTAACAAAAATACATTCATAAAGGTCGTAAATTCATATTCATTTATTAATAATCTCAAATTTTGAGAACTACATACAAAGCTGTTTATAGTTAGCCATAATATTTGCACTAATTTTTAATGCCGCGCTTGTGAGATTATAATTAAACTAGATCTTAAGTGCACGAGCGTAAATGTCAACTGTTTCATGTAATAATGCCCATTTGGGTAGCGCACTAAAAACATAAACAAGTTAAAACTTCATGGAGATATTAAAAAGTGAAAATCTTTTGCTACCTGGGCAGTGCCCAACCACAGGTGCGGAATCAAATGAAAGGGCAAAGAACATTTATGCCTTTTTATTTAATCGGTGTGGGAAATGACGTTTTATAACTTCACATGGCTTATAATAAATATTATATAGAGTGCTGCAATTTTTTAATGACACTTTTCTAACAGGTTTTAAATGAGTAGGCGTGCAATTATCATAAAAACCTTGACCATTAATTTATAACCCGTGTAGAGTTGTATAGCAATTAAAAATAAAACAATATTATTTAATAGTTAGTTACAGCAAAATCTTTAAATATTTTAAAAATTAGAAGAAGGTCTAATAAAAAGAAGGAATGGTAACCATTTTTTAAAATTTTTTTGAATTTAAATCAGTTTTTCACATAATCCGTTTTATATACAACTCCGCTCCTGAGTTTTAGTGACCGCCTGGCATATTTCTCGTTTGGAGGGCTACTTAAGAAGGTCAGTTTTTCAAGCTAAAACCCAGAAACCGGAAGGGCAAGGTCTTATTTGGTCTAGAATAAGACGAGAAACTTTCCCAAAAAAGAAAACAAAAACACATATATATTTTTTTTCTGGGTTTTCAAAAGTTTAATAGGTCTCGTTTTGGTCTTGATTAAAACTAGAATAAATAACTTAGTATCTAGACAAGTAACTTAAGACTTAAGGTGGCAAATGTGGAAAAATTCTCAACAATTTAACATTAATCGGTACATTTAGAGGCGAGAGTGCACATGAGGGTCTTGGGGCAGAAGAGCAGGCTCTTAGAGCAGCTCATCTTGTGGCCCTTCATCTGGCCCTGAGCATTCTTGTAGCAAACGAAATAGCTGGAAATGGAGGTTTGATCAGGGATTTTGTCGCCCTCCTTGCAGTAGTATTTCCTCTTCTTTGCGGTAGTTGACGATCCACTGCCCAAGCCACTGCTACTTTGGATGATGGTGGGTCTACTAGTTGTGGTGGCCAAATTTACTTCTGGTAAGTTAACCACATACGAATCGCTGGGATCGCTTTCTATGTTCGAAGAGATACCAGGTGATGCAGGCTGAGTGCTACCAAATTGCTGGAGAAGATTGGCTAAACTTTGGGCTTTCATGGCAGCCTCTTGTCTTCTCTTTGCCTCACTTAACATCTTGATGGCCTCCATCTGAAGTCTTCGATTACTATCTATGGTATATCCACTAAAGGCAGGCAACACATTACCACACTGAGCATATGTCGTGGCATCACAAATCCTAGTTTGCTTATTGAAAGCCGTGTATGGGGGACAGGAGTAGGATAGGACCTTGCCATCCTTTTTACTACAAACGAAATATCGCGTGCAATCCGTTTGATTTGGCTGCCTTACACCTGCTTGACAGGTGATTACCTCCACATTACCCAGTTCGTTCAAAGCGGACGATGACTTGGTCATCAGTGGTAGTATGGATTTCTGGAAGACATCCAGGCTAATAAAGTTGCCATTGAAATTTACTAGCTGACCATTGGGTGAGCTACTCGTCGGATATTTCATGTTATCTCCCTTGAAGGAGTTTATACTTGGACCACTGGTAAACATGCTCATCTCCATATTGCCATCCGAATCACTATAAATACTGCTGCTCATCGTTGGTCTGGGTCTGGGCATATATGGGTGATGATGGTGCTGCTGATGGTTATAACTCTGCTCCAGATATCCATTGCCAGGTGCTAATTGCTGGCTCATGTCGCTGCTGTAGGTCAGTACGTGAGGAAGAGTGTTCCCATTCCCATTTCCATTTGCATTACTATTTCCAGAGGCACTCTGATAGTTGGCCTTAATCATATCTTCGTCCATCTCCATGCTTTCGATTTTTTGCGAATTGGGTCGTATGCTCACCATATCCGCATCAATTTGTCCTGGAAACATGTCCATGGGTCTGGGCATATTCATCGAGGGATAGGACTCTGTTGGCTGGTAAACCCTATTGGCATTGTGTTCATTCAAATGAGGACTTGGAGTGAAGTATGTGGCCACTGTGGCAGCTGAAGGTTGCTGCTCAAAGGGTCGGGGAGTGGTCAAGGTATAATCACTGGCAAACGGAGACTGAGAACCATACTGTGAGGAGTAGGTACTAGTAGCTGTTGTAACGGAAACCGGACGGGCTGTAGTCATATACTCCATTCCACTGGGTTGACTGGCAGTCACATGCTTATCCATACTGGGATATACCCCTAAGCTATGACCATACGTATCCAATACCTCCTTTTCCCCTGAACTTGTGCTGGATAAGTGAACTGGTATCACATTGTTGTGTATGATGGTGGTGCTGGGCTTGTTGTAACCATTGCTTGAGGAACCTCCTCCAATCATGGGCTTCTTTTGCTGCATGTAGTGCGGATTCAAGGGCGGTGGCATGCCATAGTATTGCTGGAAGGGATTGCCTTGCGGGGAAACAAAAACAGGCTGCAAAATAGGCTGATAATAGGCACCATTAAAGCCCGGATTAGGGAGGACTTTGGGTACGTTTTGGGCGGCTATCATCTGCTTGGATAACTCCAGGACTGTTTTCAAGGTATCCTCCGATATCTTGGGCTCATGATCGCTATACTCGTGACTTTGAACAGGATGATGGCTAGAAAAAGGACTCTGTTCCTGACTCATTCCGTAACCGGAAGGTAGGGCAAACATCACAGAACCCTCTGGACGATTAACAACTATCTGGGAGTTGGCATAACCCTGACCAGTAGTACCATGCGAGGAATAAGGCAGGGAATTGGTCAGCATTAGTTTTGTTTCTGGTTCCATACGATGGTGGCTTAAATGCTCCTGCAGGCGTGTTTTATTGGAATTGGGTACAGGTAGCTTTGGTGTAGTTTTAGGTGCTTCTGTGGTAGTACTGGTAGTAGTTGTAGTAGTTTGATCCATGGGATTCATCATCTCATAGCGATTTTTGATGTCAAAGTGAGCCAAGAAGGCGTTCAACTGATCTGGACGCATTTCCGCCTGAGGTTTATCTGTTTTCTGGTAGGTCTGCTGCAGCCCATCAATCAGTTGGGATAATCTCTGCAGATGGGCAGTTAAGTTGGGGTCGATAGGTGATCCTGGCTTAGCTATTTCACTGATACCAGCCACTTGTTTGAGTTCTGTTTTAAGTTTTTCAACCTCTGTTTTGTGCTCCATACTACTGGCCGTTACCTCCTCTCGATTCTCAGGTTTCAAGTCAGGAGGGGAATCCAGTTCCACTAGTTCGCCATCGCCGCTGGAGTCGAAATTGTGTGCCGAGGAGATGTCCTCCTCCGAATGCGGATTGTTCTTAGCCGCCTCCTCAGTCTCCTCACTGCTCATTGTAGAATCCAATACAATTTTAACGGATCCATCGTCAAAGGGATTGGATTCACTTAACCGCAATCCCGCCTCATCCATGTCGTTGACTATCAATATGTCCGCATCTTTTTTACTAGGCGATTGTGTCGAGCTCATCTCACTAGGAGTGATGCACTCCCAGTCCTCGCCAGGGAGAACGCAGCTACCCAAACTGGACTCGTATACCAATCCCTCGTTGCATTTCACCGGAATCCAAACATGGGAGTTTGAAGGCAGTTCCCGACACTTGTAGAAGGCGTCGCAACGGGTTTTGTGGGGTCGGGTTTTTTCAGGACATGGTTTGCCTTTGATTATCCAGTCCAGAAAACGGAAAATCGAGTATAGAAAAAGAAGAAATTTTCACATTAGCACGTAGACTCTAACTGCATTTAAAACATTTAAGGTTTAACAATGTTCAGGAATCAAAACTAAAACAAGGACTTTGAATTTACATTCACATAAATTTGATGATAAATACTTTCAATTTTAAATTGTTCATTTTTAAAAGAAATGCTTTCAAGTCACTGCTTTTAAGTTCCAAAAATTTGAACACTTCACTCTCTGGCGGATTTTACCTTCGGAAAAGTAAAACAGACCCGTAATCAACGCGTAAGCTAGCAGATGCCTCATCGCGTATCCTTTCCGCGTAATCCTTTCGCCCGTAGTCCGCAATCCGTAATGGTAAGTTCCGATCTGCTCCGTTCGAAGCCCGCGACACGAATGACTGCAGATCCAGAGCGGACCGCATATTAAATTTTGATCATTTTCACTTTGAGCCGAGCTCGAGGTTCTTTGAAACTCGGGCAATGTGTGAAAAAGTCCGAAAGCGAACAAACAACAAAGTATATGACCAATTTTCTTGGCCTCTCTTCTCTGAACGCTCACATTTAAAACGACAGCTTATAATTGTTTAAACAAATAGTTTTTGTGGTACTGGAAAGATCGAGGAATTAAGGAAATTTCACTTTTTCTGCGTAGTCTGTTTGATTAAAAGTGCAACAAAATGTGAGGCAGGTATATTTAGTAACCATAAAGTAACAAAGTAATATTGATAAGCTTTAGGTATTACATAATTTTTTAAAATTTAAAATATTTAATTTAAGAAATCGAATATTTGAAAGACATTTTTATTGATAACATCGCATGTTACGCTGTATATTTTAATAATTATCCTCCTCTGTCTGGCAAATAAACCTGAAAGGAAAGTTACAGGAGTAATCGTACATTTGTCCATTATACAGGAATACGCAGTGAGAAGTATCCAATTGAGTAGAATGACCAGGAGCCCACTTTAAAAAAGTCGGTTGCTTTCCGGTCGCCATGGAGAAGTATTCGCCTTTTTTCGTCAAGTCACTAATTCCTAGCCAGTAATGCGTCTCTTCCTTGAGATTTTCCTGAAGATCATCCAGTTCCTTTTGGCTCGCAATATCAGCCAGATGACCTCCAAAATATCGGCAAGCTTTTGAGGCGGAGGACCAATCCTTTTCAGAGTATTTTTCAATATAATAGTATTTTGGACCAATCTGTTCGTACTGCAGATATTTTATTTTAACTTCCAGTTTTTGTAATTTATCATGTATGGCTAGTAGTTGTCTTTCCAAATCATTCTGTCCCTCAGTTTGGTTTTGCTGGGTTATATTAAGAGTTTCTCGTTGGGTATCCAGAAAGGTTTCAAAACTGGATTGCTTTTCTAGCAAGGAATCGAGTTGCCTTTCCATGGTGTACTGCCTTACCAGGACTTCTTTTGCCTTAATAGGATCACTGGAATTTTGGTGGTCGTTGGCAATAGTCATTTAAAACCGGCGTCAATACACTGAGGCAGAATCCTCCGCATTGGTTGAGTGGATCTTCCGACAAACGGATTCGCTCTCGACCATAGCTCCATTCAAGGCAAGAAGCCCACAAATCAAGACAAACGCGGTTTTTAGCATTTTTTTTACCAATGAACACGAATTCTCTAAATGTATTGAGTCCGCGTTTTTATACAGCTCTTTTTTATTTAAAAAGAAAGCCACAAATTGGTAGAAACTTAAACAAATTCAATTAAAAAAACATTTAAGTAATTAATATTAATGACACAGCTTATTTATATGCGGATAAAAATAAATTAAATTGAAACCAAAAAACTAAAGCCCCTGCCAAAAATATTAAGTTTTTTCTAATCATTATTCTGGAATTCAAAAATTTTACTTCTTTTTATAAAAAAAACTTAAATTTACTTGGCACTATCTTTAAATACTTTAAATCTAACATTTTCTTAATCTTGAAAAAAAAACAATTCTTGCGCCGTTTCTTTAAGCCAGATCTGGCAGCACTAATCAAACAAATAAATTCCTTTTAGCGGTTACACCTACCCAATACACCCACTTAGCCAATACAACCTCCGCATTTGGTGGACTTGCCTTTCAATCGATTACTGATTTTTTGGCAATATCGATAGCATCTGGAAACATCGATTTTAGTTCCAGCTCTAAAAATTGCTGCTCGCAAGCAGCGAAACAAAATAACAAATAAACAATAAGTGCACCGATATAGACTACTCGTAATTACGTGGACTAAAGAGAGGGCGGGAGTGGCATATTGTGCAATAACAAACCCACCATTTGTTTGGCCCACGAAAACTGAACTAAGAATCCCGCATACACACATGCAGCCGCACACAGGAGACAACAATCACACACACAGGCGCAAGTTGTAGGAGCACCCGAGCAAGAAGAAGAAGCAGAAGGTAAGGCGCAGGTAAAAAGAGGAAGAGAAACATTCAAAGATTGCTAGAAACAAAAAAAACACATTTTTTGCATTGGAATTTGCAAGCGGTAAAGCGGTGGCAACGAGTGCAAGTGAGACGGAAGTTGCGACCTTTGCCTCAATTACAACCAAACACACACATACACGCTCATTGAAGGAGTGGGAGTGGGAGAGGCAGCTACCGTTTTTTTTTTGGCTTGCGTTACATGACCACCAATAGAAGAATATATATATATATATATATGTATATAATATAGTAAAGGTTTGCTGTGTAAGCGACTAAGCCCGACGGTCGATAATTCAAGGAAGTTCAAGTTCCCCTACCCTAGAAGTGCATTCTTGATTTATTGACAGCTGTTGCTGATTATTTTACTGTGCTTTCGCTTTTCCTGCCCCACAAGATAGCTCCCCTTTGTTCTTCAGCATTTGTTGATAAACACTTGAATAGTGTATGTCCTATGATAAGCGAAAATAAGCCGGAAAGTGCGTCCTGAATGTTCGGATGCGCTGATGTGTCAATTGAAATCCATGAAAAGCTAAATCCAAGTCAATTTAATCAGTTTTAAGCTTTAAACAGAATTTGATGAGAAACCAAGTAATAAACAAGCTGCACTTGTTCACGTGTTCTTGTCAAATTAATGCAGTAAAAACCCAAGCAAAAGGGAAATCGCCAACAATTACACAGAAAGAAAAATCCGTAAAGGCATTTAAGTATTGTGCAAAATCGATATTCTTCAATGCTTGAAGTTGATATGATTAATATATGTTGTTTAACGCTGATAGCTAAATCATAAATTGGAATAACTATTACTTATTATTCGTAATATTAATCATATTTTTTTCTGTGTAGACAATCAATATGCAATGGCCATTCAACAATTGAAATTGAATTCATTTACCGTTTTCTTTTTCGTATTGTTGATGACTCACATGGCAACATTATTATACAATCTATTGTGTGAGTGAGTCGGGGTGTTTGCTATCAAAATTATAGATGACCAGCAATCGGCGGGGAAATTGTACAGAAAAAGTACACACGCACACATCCGTGACAGTCCGTGATTATGGCGAAAATTAATAGCCCAAATACAGCGCTTCCCATAAGTGTAAGATAATAATATAAGATGCGGTTCATGATTATGTATCCTAAATGTACATTTTTTCCGAGTATTTTTTCTTCTTTAACACATATTTCAGAATTAATCATTATATTTTGTTTTCCTTATTCATTGCTGTTACGCTTAATTTCTTATTCATATTCATAAAATATGTTTTTTAAAACTAGTTTACAATTTTTTTATATTTATACCTAGTTTAGTTTCTAAATCAGTGAGACGCACTGTATATTAGTGAATTAAAATTAGGAAATTTGCAGCTAACATTTTGTTCCAGCTGTTTATGACACGGAAAAAGTGAAGGCCCACTCGCTAACAATTTTTTTTGCCATACTGTCGTTTACATTATATACTACACAAAATTAAACAGCCTATATCTTATCTGCGGCTAGTCGCTTTCATAATGATATAGAGCTGGCAGATAATAGCTTTCCAAGATTAGGTGTTTAAATAGTCCAGAGCTAAACTCCATAACATTGTGTTCCAGCCTAGAAATTACTAGGTAAATCAGGTTTAATATAAACACCGCAGAACAGGCGGTATCAGTGGTCTAAACTTAAATAGTAAAAACACAATGAAAACTTGTATAACTGTGTAAATAATTAAAAATATAATATAGGCTGTCTTTTTTAAAGTGGTAATATAATCTTTCTTTTTAACAATGTTGTTTTTTTTTTTTGGTTATTGGTAAATCATTTATGTATGTAGACTGTGTTTGGGACTTATCTTATCACCTGCAGAACACGCAATTTCCCATTCGATACTTTGCACCGTGCTCAATACTCGCTTTCTCTTTTAGAACCGCAACTCCCCCGAGAAGGGAAGGTCACTCAATAGGGACGATAACAACGCGAAGGAGGAGGAGTACCAAAACCAGACACACTTTCAGACACTAAATGGCAGATGGAAATAGGCTGCCAGCGGGTGCAGCTTCCGGCGGTATGGAAGCCGGACAGACAGTAAATGGGGCCGGATCTGCCAGCCCCACGCCCACCTCAAGTTCGGGGGCTGGGGCTAGTGGGAGTGCCAATCAAGGATACCATCAATTAAGCGTGACAAGTGAGCTAACAAAAGAAACACCAAGTAAAAGAAACATTTTGTACAATTAATAATACCCCAAAATCCTTTCAGTCAAGGAGGCTTCGCTGCGGAACAATGGCTTTCTCAAACCCAATCCCTACGTGGAGCTGCTGATCGACAGCAAAAGCAAGCGAAAGACGGACCTGGTCAAGAACAGTTATCTGCCCAAGTGGAACGAGGAGTTTACGGTGCTGGTGAGTAGATGAAATAAACATTGAAGGTCAATAATTCTCATATTCAATTTACTTCTCCGTGCATAGATTACACCCAAGTCCCAGCTGCACTTTAAAGTTCTGGATCATTCCAGTTTTCGCAAAGATGCCATGTTGGGCGAAAAAGTCATCTACTTGGCGCCCATCCTAAAGCATTACAACGGGCGCTGCGAGTTTCTTGAATTGACTATGGACCTGTATGTCACCAGTAAATCGGACAACCACGAAACGAAAAGCGGCGAACTAGTGGCTGTCCTCAATGGCCTTAAACTGGATATGAGCAAGCTGCAATCTCAGTCAGTTCAGGGAGTCCAACAGAATGGAAATTCACCCGTCCAGGCAGTCAATCCGTCGATGGCTAGTGATGCTGCCGCCGGTCGCAGCTGTGAGATTTATGGTGGTTTGCGGGCACGGATGCGGCTGGGCTCAAGTAGTGGCAATAGCAATGGTGCAGAAACCCGCTCTCCTTTGCCGAATGGAGGCTCGGATCACAGGAGATCTGCGCCCGCTCCACCAGTGTGGGAACAGCAGCAACAATCCCAAAATCAACATCAACCCCTGAGGATGGTCAATGGTAGTGGAGCAGCTGTGCCACAGACAGCGCCTTATCCTCAACAACCTCCAGCTCCCGTACTTGCACGTCCTCTAACTCAAGTATACGGAGCCTTGCCGGAGAACACCACACCAGCTGCTGTTTATTTGCCAGCAGATGGAGGAACAGCAGTAGTAGCACCTGGAGTCGCAGGGCCACCTATAGAACAGCCCGGAGTTGGACTGCCTGTGAGCCAAAGTACAGATCCGCAATTACAAACGCAACCGGCAGATGATGAGCCTCTGCCAGCTGGTTGGGAAATCCGCTTGGATCAATATGGACGTAGATACTATGTGGATCACAACACACGGTCCACTTACTGGGAGAAACCAACGCCTCTGCCTCCGGGCTGGGAGATTAGGAAGGATGGGCGCGGTCGAGTTTATTACGTTGATCACAACACAAGGAAGACCACCTGGCAACGGCCGAATAGTGAACGCCTTATGCACTTCCAGCACTGGCAGGGTCAGAGGGCTCATGTTGTATCCCAGGGCAACCAGCGATACCTGTACTCCCAGCAACAACAGCAACCAACGGCGGTGACCGCCCAGGTGACGCAGGACGACGAGGATGCATTAGGACCACTGCCAGATGGCTGGGAGAAGAAGGTAAAATTGATATCCTATCAATAAAATGCTGTTTTATTTATATTATTTTTTTCTCTTACCACAAACAGATACAATCAGACAACCGAGTGTACTTTGTGAATCACAAAAACCGAACCACCCAGTGGGAGGATCCACGCACCCAAGGTCAGGAAGTAAGCCTAATTAACGAGGGGCCTCTTCCACCTGGCTGGGAAATTCGTTACACTGCAGCTGGTGAGCGCTTCTTTGTGGACCACAATACGCGACGCACCACCTTCGAGGATCCTCGACCAGGAGCACCGAAGGGTGCCAAGGGAGTGTACGGAGTTCCACGCGCATACGAACGAAGCTTCCGCTGGAAACTGTCTCAATTCCGGTACTTGTGCCAGAGCAACGCTCTGCCATCGCACATAAAGATTACGGTGACGCGACAAACCTTGTTCGAGGATTCCTATCACCAGATCATGCGTCTACCCGCGTACGAACTCCGAAGGCGCCTCTATATCATATTCCGTGGCGAGGAGGGACTGGATTACGGCGGAGTTTCTCGCGAGTGGTTCTTCTTGCTTTCCCACGAAGTCCTGAATCCCATGTACTGCTTGTTTGAATATGCGAACAAAAACAACTACAGCCTGCAGATAAATCCCGCCTCCTATGTGAATCCTGATCACCTGCAGTACTTCAAGTTTATTGGCCGATTTATTGCAATGGCCTTATATCATGGAAGGTTTATCTATAGTGGATTCACAATGCCATTTTACAAACGCATGCTGAACAAGAAGCTGACCATCAAGGACATCGAGACGATCGATCCAGAGTTCTATAACTCTCTTATATGGGTAAAGGATAATAACATCGACGAGTGCGGCTTGGAGCTGTGGTTCAGCGTAGATTTCGAAGTTCTTGGACAGATAATCCATCACGAGTTGAAGGAAAACGGCGAAAAAGAGCGTGTGACGGAGGAGAACAAAGAAGAGTATATCACGCTAATGACAGAGTGGCGAATGACGCGGTAAGTACTTTTTCATTTAATTAATAGTAAATCAATTAATGTATTATTTATGTATTTGATTATTAACAGTGGCATTGAACAGCAGACAAAAACTTTCCTGGAGGGCTTCAATGAGGTGGTGCCTCTGGAGTGGCTCAAGTACTTTGATGAGCGCGAGTTGGAGCTGATCCTGTGCGGCATGCAAGACGTGGACGTGGAGGACTGGCAGCGCAATACTATTTACAGGCACTACAACCGCAACTCTAAGCAGGTCGTCTGGTTCTGGCAGGTTAGTGTTATTCTAAACTTTCTGTCATTTAAATCTCTAATTTGGGTAATTAATTTCGCAGTTTGTTCGTGAGACGGATAATGAGAAGCGGGCTCGTCTGCTGCAGTTTGTGACGGGTACGTGTCGAGTGCCGGTCGGAGGATTTGCGGAGCTGATGGGCTCCAACGGACCACAGCGCTTCTGTATCGAGAAGGTGGGCAAGGAGACTTGGTTGCCGCGCTCACACACCTGCTTCAACCGATTGGACCTGCCGCCGTACAAGAGCTATGATCAGTTAGTGGAGAAGCTGACTTTTGCCATTGAGGAGACTGAGGGCTTCTGCCAGGAATGAGTGGCAGTCGATTTGTGGTCGGTTTGTTGATTAATGTTTAATTCCAGTTGAGCGCCTACGTTACCGTCCCCGCTCCCTCACCCAGTCCCACTCTTCCTATTACCCATTCCCATTCGACGACCACGTTGCGTTAAATAGTTACTGTTATTATTATTACATACGTATGTATTACTTCTGTATACTGTAAAAACAAAAACTCTTTTGTCTATTCCTATGTTTGCTATCAATATAAAGAGAAAGATTTGTTTAAAGTGCGAAAATTTTTAAAAACGACATATGTATGAATGTATTGAAAGCCTATTTAAGACTTATTTATAATCTGTTAGATATAATTTAACTATTCAACTATAAATATTCTTTGTAGATTTCAAGTATGTTTTGAATGATTCTACTCTGTTAATAATTTTATATCTCTATCTTCAAATGTAATTGTCGATACATTTTCCCATCTCGTTATTACGCCGATGCATAAAAGCACTTTTAAGTTCAACTGAGCCGTCAAAAATGGAAAAACACAAAACTCCCCCCGAAAAAATGCTATTAAAATTGTTTTATATTAATGGCAATTAACTATACAATTAATACACCGATATGTTAAAGGTAAAGTTGTTACCGACATTTTTGTAGGGATCCCTCGGTTTTGGCTCTCAAAAAGCTGCTCAGCAATCGCAACTAAATGTTACGAGTTCGCCATAAGATTGCACTTAAATTGCTTCTAGTTCAATTGTACAACGAGCCCCGGCTTGCATGTTTTAACTACAATTTGTGAATTTATATTTATATTAACACACTCCACTTGTAAATAGTTTACTCAACCGAATTCAAATTGTTAACGAACTGAGTTTGGTTTACTGGCAAACTGTTTTTAACTGTTCAATTGTTTGTCAAGTATACACAAAAATCTAAATAGAAACTATATTTTAAACATTGTATATCCCACACACTAACAAACAACACATACTGGAGATATCGTGAGAACTTGAAACACCGCAAAGCAAACAAAATACGTTAGGTTTTTAACAGACAAACAAAGTATACACTTAAACGAATAATAAATTCAAATAGCAATTATTGTTGTTAACAAAACTAAAGGTAGCAAAGGAGGTATTGGCGGCAGCGATACATATATTAATTATGCTACCTAAATGTGCAGACTAAGACAAATCGGATAGAAATGAGGATGATCGGCGTATATAGGGTTGATTGTGAGCGATTACATATTACATATTAAATATATATTATATATTAAATAGATTTTATTTAGTTTAATGCAATGTGTACTGTACTATATAAAATAAATGCAAAATTATTTAGTGATAGTTGATGTAATTATTCATGATGCCCCAAAATACTTGAGGGCATTTCGGATGTGTCGACATTTGCGGTTAGTTTTCGCTTAGTCAGCTGGCAAATCGTTGATGCGGCAATAAATGTAATTATTTTAAGCGCATTTTTGGCCAACGCTTGCATTTTAATGTCCGCAATTAAAACGTGTATCAAATATGTAAAAATCGCATTTTGCCACCATTTGAGTCTCGTTTTGGTCAGCCAGCGAAATGCCCACTGAATATCCGCAATAGGCCACTGATAACATCGTCATCGTTATCCTCAAATGTCTAACCTACATTTTTCAGAGCTTCCTGGTGGGTGTGCGTTCAAATTTAACAAGCTGCTCCATTATTTATTGCGGTTAAATTGCAAAAACGTAGCAGTCAAAACATGAAAACTAAACAGCGTACACATGTGGAGATACACTAACAAGTTTTTGTTTTAGCATTTTAGGAGCTGAATTTCAGGATTTCATTTCAACCATAAAATATTACTTCAAAATTATTAAAAAAGGATTAACTGTTATAAAAAAACCATTATTAAAGCCAAAATAATACGATTTCATTTAATTATATTAACGTTTTTGAAATTCTTTTTTAAAGTGTTTATTCAGGACCCTGGCAAATAACACCATCACGCTGCTTTGGGGATTGGGGGCTATGTAGCTGTGAGGCTTCAGGCTTCCGCTCCCTTGCTTCAGGCTTTTTCGCTCCTGGTCCTCAATTCCTAGCTGGCGGCCTGCTGGCTCCAGTTCCGACGTGTGTATTGTTTCGTAATTACGCCACAAATGGGCGGGGTCATGGGTCGGCGGAGGCAGCACCTTTCGGCGCCCACCTGGGAGCACCACGAGCTCGTGGTAGGTGCAACCAATTTTCACTTTCATCCATGATTTATGTATTCGCTGCCCGTGCTGCCTTGCCAAAGGATGCAGTTTTTAAAGTTAATAAAGGTATGGGGGTGTGCTGGATATAATTGCTGGAGAGGTTTACTTGTATTAAGCTGGTTGGTTGAAGGGTATAATTGGATTTTTATTTATATTTTTATTTTATCTATCATGTAATGTAATAATATAATGTAATTTATCATTAAAAATAGAGAGGTTTACTTGTATTAAGCTGATTGGTTGATGGGTACAATTGGATTTTTTTTTATATTTATATTTTATCTATCATGTAATGTAATAATATAATGTAATTTATCATTCAAAATCAACGATCGTTTCAGTGTTGCCACCTAATTTGATTATCAAATGTGGCCATCTGTGTTGTTATGATTTAGCGTTGCCATATGTTGTTTTGCCATTCACATTTGCGCATTTGCTGTCATTGGCTTGTTTAAATTTAAAAATTGTAAATTTTTGTGAATATTTACAAAAAAGTCATATTAACGCTTGGAAATGGATAATATTACCAGATCTCCCGATGTACGGTAAGTTACGGAACAGATATACACAACTTCTCTTATTAATGAAGAGGTTCTTAAATAGAATTCCCGAATGTGGCATGCCCTTGCGCATCAGAGAACTAATGGAAAGAATGGGATCCCATAAAGGAACTACATACAAGAGCATACCATCCATTATTATTACCCGTGCTGATATCATCCCGGAGCGCTCAAAGCTTATGCTACAGCGTCTGGAGGGATCCTTATATCGATCTCCCTCTGCCCCAAAAAATGCATTTTTAACAAGCGTAAACAAAAAGCAAAAGGAAAGACTGAAAATACCAAAGGATCGGTAAGCTTGTGTTATATCTGTATTCTCAATTTTTATTTTTTTTTAAATATTAAAACTAACCAGTTGCCCACTCTCGGAACCACAACCAATCCGCCCCAAGGTGATCCTGGAAAGAGAACGCCAAGAGGCTTTAGCAAATCGCATGACCTCAATATCGATTGACCGCCCAAGAACAAGGCCACCAACGAACACTTTTACGTCGAGCAGGCAGTTGGTTCCCTCGATTGGATTCTCGTACCCTAAGGATCCCAAGAGCCTCCAGCGATCCGCCAAAACCACCGAGCTGACCAACACAAAGCGAAAGTTGGATTTCCACACCGATGTGGAAAAGGCATCACTACGGCCGAAGCTGGAGAAGATTGCAAAGGAATGGCACACAAAAACAGAGTACCAGTTGCGTCAGTTTATCTCGGAATTAGTGAATCACCTAGCGCACTTTATGCCATTGAATGGCGTAAAGTTTTCGTATCTTAGCAGGGGAAGCTATGTGCAGCAGATAATGGAGGCATTGCAGCACCTTCAGTATTCCAAAAAGGTAAATAAAACCTGGCTTCGAATGCCAAACACTCAACAAGCTATGGGCCATCTGCTGGAAATACTCTATTTCCTGTTGGATGCTGTTGAAAAAGGTGAGGGAATGGCCATGTTGCCCCCTGTTTCAAAAGAGCAGTCAACATTAAAGGAAAGGCAAGCAACCAGCGAAAACTCTGAGCAAAAGATTGAATTTACCAATAATGATATAATAGCGCTGCATCAGCAGTTTGATAATCTAAAAATACAGAAAGAATCGAACAACAGCCAAGTATATCTGAATGGATTACTGGATGCTCAGGAGGAGAAATTACATGAATTGCAGATAAAACGTCTGGTTATAATGCAGTTCTCAGAGCTTGTGAGTCTCGCCAAGATAAAGTTAAAACGCTGCTGTGATGGAAATCAAGAAAACATCAATGCCTTTAATCAGCAGATAAGGGATTTGACTGAATCCCATGTTTTTAAAAATAGTCTCAACGCGTCTTCATTACAGTTGCATTTAAATCCAAATCCCACTCTGGAGGGGATCGTCAAACGTATGGAGCAACTACAGAGACTGTATGAAGAGAATTATTTAAATCTTCAGCAGTTAAATATGTAGTTGCTTCAAGGAATCCTTTTGGCAACTTAGCTACCTACCTCAACGATTCTCTCTTAAGGTTCTTGTTAATTTAAGCAAATATTTGTGTACTACGTAAGTTACACACTGAGCCCACCATCTAAGCTGCTGCTTTAGTAATTCTTGCCTGAATTTCAAAGATTTATTTAATTGAATTTATCAACTGGAAGCTTCGGCAATGTCCTGGCCTGGATTTAAGTTAGTGTAATTGACATTTAAATGAGTCATCGGCATGTTGGCTTCACTTACTGTAGGGAAATAGCCGGAAAGTAAAGCTGCTTAGCTTCAGATTTCATAAAAATATTAATTTTAATTAATGTGCTGTGCTACGTTTTATTTAGGTTCTTTAATTTGTAATTATAATATAAGCTATGTCTTAGTAGTTATGTATAATTTTTATTTTTAAATATCGCTTTAAAGCAATTTGAATTGCGTATTACCGAAAAGAACTACTTAAACTACGTAATAAAATAAATGTCGAAAAAGATGCAATTTTACAAATAAAATATTTATATATATATTCCACTATATAGTAGAGTAAATATGATTCTAGAAAAGTTTTTGAAAATGTAAGCAGAAGAGCAACTGCTAGGCTGGGGCTTAAGTTTTGCTGTTGCTTAGTTGTGAAAGACTTGTGGATTGGCATTAATTTAGAGGTCCTGCAGCAAGGACGTTGCCTAACGAGGGAGAGTGGCTGGGTGTTTGGGTGGCTGGCTATATGCATGTGCTGGGGTTAGATTTATAATGCGTTTGTGTTTGTGCCCTAGAGTGGAACTAATAATCTTATTACTCAACTGGAAGAGATGCAAGCCAGCGTCAGTCCCCAGCACAACTTGGAAACTATAACCGCACCGCACCCACAAACGGAGCTGTGCAATTAAACAGTGAGCTGCATAAATTATTTCCCTGCAACAAAATGTTTAAAGACCAGACTCGCCCGCAAATCCCGGACAGACGAATACAAGTGGGAGCGAGGGCGCAGGCAAGTGTAATAAAATACATGAATTAGTGTAATGGAAATGCGAATTCCTTGAACAAACAATGCCAAAATTTCGAATGCAAATTCCCCAGCTAAAAACAACACAACAAACCAGAATTTTGCGCAAATTAAACAATAACAACACTATGGAAGTGAGGCAAAAAGTACATACACCTAGAGTGCAGAAATATGTAAGAATCTCTGGATCCTAAAGAAAATGTGGTCCAAATGCCACGATTAAGCCATATAGTAGTTAGTTCAGGCCCAGCTCGGAAATAGTTATCTGCTTTACATCGTGTGTCATAACTTGTACTCCAAGTTCGTAGCCAAAAACACCGAGAGCACCTTTAAAACTTGCCTTGGAAAGTCAGGCCAAAACAATTATGGTCTGTGGTGGATGGTAGATGGCAGATGGGCGTTGGTAGTTGGGTGGGTGGTATATGTGTTGTCTTGTACATTATTTTCCTTCATAAAACAAACACTCACCTCGGCAGCCACTCACTCACTCACTCACAAAAGAACAGCATCCGCATCCAGCACTGACAGCAGCAGCTTCACAGCATCACTGGAGTGAAATAATCGCATATCGTAAACTTTGACTTCGAGCTAATGAAGAATTGCGGAGCCCGGAAAAGCTGCAATTGAGTTAATTAGCCGAGCAGGGAACTTCAAGCAAATGGAAAGTGTCATGACGTTCAGGCAGTGGCAGCTCCGCAAAGAGGAGCTCATTTCAATGTATTTATATTTATACTGCCTCTATGTCCTACTTAAGCAAATTGGATTTTATTCAAGGTAGTTAGTTCAATGTTTTCCTTCATTATAAATTTTTACACGTGGTTATAAATTGTTTTTATGCAATAAAAAAAAAACTAAACTAAACTAAAACCAGAACTGTTTTTATATTTCAAAATAATAGTTTTTAAAGTGTTTATTAACGTTTTCTTACTGTACTTTTTCCCTGTGCTCATACGGAAACTTTCGAACTCGTTCGATTGTCAAACAAACAAAAGAAATTGCACTCGAAAAATATAAAAGAAAAACGCTTGTGCCAATGGCGCTGTGCGAAGGAAGAATTGCCGAAAATCAAAAGGCACTATTTCTTCGACATCCTTTGCTTTCTCGTCCTGGCACTAATGGAAAATAACGTCTATTGTTGTTGTTTAATATCAGACTGGACCGTACGAAGGGGATTCGAATTGCTTTAAGTTGAAGTGAGCAGCCAGCTTTAATTTGAAAATCGCTCAGCGGAAGGGAATAAAATTTGTATGCGGAGCGGTGAAAAACCACTGGATGATGACTCGCCGACTGAACTGTTTTCTATGTGTCCTACGGTTTAGCTGCCACTTCTAGCGAAAAGGAGAAAAAATGTCAACGGCAGCGTGACCAAGTCCGCGTCCAACAAACCAGCCGATGTCGAGTCATGCGATTGCAATATTTATGCAGTTTGTGCAGCGTTCGCTATATTTGACAGTTGCTCTTCCGCTCGGTTGTAGGAACATTGGTCCCATATCCTTTGGCAGGGCATTACTGTAATGAGTCCAGCTGCACAGGAAAGTCATTTAGGTCTAAGCCAATTTTTGCCTATCACATTCCGTAAGCCATTTGCACTAAAAGTTTTATGAAATGAAAGTGTTACAAAAATTGCAGCTTTATATTTTGTCTCCGGATAATCATAAGTAAGAAATCTACCTTAAAATACAATTTTTAAAAATATTTTAAGGGCTTTTCGGTTTAGTGTTTTTGGAGTTCATGATTTTAGATAAGACATGTATAACTCTGTTATTATTATCGAAGAATAATCTATTAGTTTGTAATATTAGGTTCATACTTACTTTTAAAGCATATACTTACCTTTACCTTACTTTAAAGTCTAAATTATTTTTATGAACCATTTCGCTGCCCTGGCAGCGCATTAATGCGTCGTTGTGGTGAGTGTAATTGTTATTGCTCAATTTTTTTTGCACATTTCAGCGGTTTTTGGGCTCTAGGAAGTTGCTTGCTTAGTCGGGCATGCAACCAGGACGGGCTAGAGGGTTTGGAGAGGAGGGAACAGGGATGGCCAGGACACGATGCTGCAGCAGGTGGCGCGTGCGTTTGCTCGAACGGCAATTGCATTATCAGTAAATTATATCTGCGGCGGTCTGTGGCCCCCCATTTGCCGACTTTTCCCAGCGCCGACATGTTGGCCATGTTTACGGGTTGCCTGCGGCCATGTTTGCCAGCTCCTGCTGGTTGCTCCTGCTTTTTCTCCATTTCTTCCTCCTGCGCCCTCCATCACATTGCTGTTGTTGCTGAGCCGGATCCGAGGGCCTGTTGTTGCTGGTGCTGCTGCTTGTTTGTGAACCATTTTCGGCGCTTTCCTGCTGATTTATGCAAAACTGTGGCATTTTTCAATTGCATTTTACACTCGTCCTGCAAGTTTCGCCACCAGCTACGGATCCTGCAGGCTTCGTGCTTCAGGACTCCGGGGTCCTGTTTCCTTTCGCTTGTTTGTGTTGTACAATTTTCACACATTTGTGCAACTTTTGCCACCGAAAATGCGCAACACATTTGCCCCGTCGCATTGTGTCTGTTTCATCTGGAGGAGTAGCATCTTCACAGAATCTGCCTGCCACGCCCACTGGCCACAGGCAGCCCTTTATACGCCTCCTTCCCCCATCCCCCTGGCAGTCAACTGCATTTTATTGCCACAGATGTGAGTGTGTGTTAGGGATCCGTGTATCCACGATATCCACGCTTGGTTTTCCGCATTTAATGCCAAGTTATAACTTTCACGTGGGTTGCTTTAGTAGTTTTTACCCAGATTCCCCTCTTCTGTCCACCCTAAAGTTCGCCCCTTCTGAGTTACGTGGTCCCATAAAAATATCCCAACGGGGAGTATAGTGTCACTTATGCATAGAAGATTTGCGGTGCATTTTTAAATGTTTAATAAACATAATTTCAACGCAGTTTATCATGTGACAGGGCATAAAGTCTGCCGCGTTTACAGCCATTTGTTAATGGCTGATTGATATGGAAAATAGATTGAAAACGATATGGTTAGTTAGGAATGAGAAATATGGTTTATCGGTAAAGTTAATGGAATACACTTAAGGCATGTTATTCTCAAATTATATTGCAAATTTTGTCATATAATTTTTTATTAAACTATAATGTAAGATTGAAAAACTTGTAAAATTTTCAGAAGTTTATTAAGATAATAATTAATTTCTTAAACCGCCCTCGTTATCAAATGAGCACTGATTTTCAAGCTTCAATTTTCCAGCTAATTGCCAAAATAAGCAAAATTATGTGCCGGGCCGTAAATACACCCAGCAACATTTTTCCATTTGGCTGAAATGCGTTGCCAATTGAAATTATGCACTTTGACAGGGAGCCCATTTGGTGTTAATCATACGCACTGTTGCCCGGCAGTCGAATCCTGTTTGCTAATTTAATGTTCGCTAGCGAATGCACATCGAAAGAGAACTACTGTTGCTGGAGATATAATTTCCGAATATTCACACCAAATAATTAAATATATAAAGTTGAATTTCTAGATGAGTGGGAAATCCGATTTAGGTGGAATTTTCAACAAACAAATTTATTGGCGCATAATTCAAGGCGGCAATGATGCCGCTGACGATGATGCATGGCGGGCCAGGAAGCATCCCAAGATATGAATGGATGCAGCTGGCAATTTATGGCAACTAAGAGTGGGTGGATGGGTGTTTGTGGCCAAGGCCGTTTTGCCATTTGCCGTTTGCCGCTGCCGTGGCTGCCAAAAGCAGCTAGCAAAAGAAAACGCCAGCCGCATGACGATGCCAGAGCGGAAAAGGAAATGGAAATGTGCAAATGCAATTGTCACAGACACACACACACTCACACTCACAAACAAGCAGCAGTTGGGGTGAAATTTTAATGGAAAATTGGTGTACTCGTCGTGGCAATAAATGAAGCTCGCATTTCTATACGCCCGCCTAATAAAAGGGCAAGCCCGTCAGAGTGACAGCCGACAAGGGACCGGACAACAAGGCCCGAAACACTGAAGGGGCAGGCCAAGGGGCCCTATGACCCCCAAAACCAATAGCCACTTCTTAACCCCCTTCTCTGACGCCAGTTCCACTGAGTGATGAGCCCTACTAGCTAGGATTTTTCGTTTGGAGTTAGGACCGTTTTCCAAATGCTAAAGCCCAGGTACGCAAATCAATTTGTTAAATCTCTCCCCGAGCGAGTGGGTAGGGCTTACATATATCGTTCAAAGGAGCACCTCTGCTGGCCCCGGGTGCTCCCTTTCAGGCGCTCCGTCTTTATGCCTACAGCTTAATCTTTCAATTTGCATATTACATAATCGCCTAAGTGGGCGGGGCAAGGTGGGGAAGTGTCTAATCACTTAGGAAAATTTAGGATTATAATAAATATTGAGACGTTTTTAGCATAGGTGCATTTGCAAGAATCTTATAAAGTAAAATGGACTTTTCGTTTTCAAAATATGTTAACATTTTCTCTACGATTATATTCTAATTAAATACTTAATATATATTTCTCTTAGTGCAGCTACAGATATGACCTGAGCATCAAGGCAATGCTTTATGGTCACTTGAACGCAAATCGCACTGCTTGGAGGCTGCAAGGCTACTCCACAGGAAGCACTGGAGGGATGTACAGATAGCCTGATGGACGTTGGTGGCATAGGGGGGCGAATGTGGCCGCTGGCAAACACTTGACGTGCGCTTATGCGGCACCGAGTTGCGCATACGCCGTGTGGGCCGTACCGCTTATTGAATATGCTGATGCAGGTAAAGCTTTATCTATAGCTATAGCCATGAAAGCAGGAGCTTCATGTTGATATATGTCACACAGACTGGCAAAATAAACTGCATCAAAAGGGGGCGCTCAGCATGTATGTGTGTGTGTGTGGGCGTGGTCCGGCCCACTTACTGGCCATCGATGATAGGCGTTGATACAGTTGCTGTAACAGGATTAGCTCTGGATTTGGCTTAGACACGGGCACCATGTTTGCCCCGGCAACTGATGGATGGAAGGGGCAGTCTGTGGGTTGTGGCAGGGATTGGGGACTCCAAACATTATGCAAGTCAAATCCGAAACGAGAGCTGCAAGTTAATGGGACAACCTCAATGAAATAGCTCAACTGCATTGCCGGCCACTGCGCCAGTCAAATATTATTCGTTGTGGGGCCCCAAATAAAATGCAATTATTGTCCATCTATCAAATGACCAGCTGTGTCTGTGTGTCTGCATGTGCCCTACTGCTTGGTTTGTGGGCTCTTAATTGGTTTGGCTGGGCCTGTCTGTTAACTATTGCCATGGACTGTATGATACTCACTTGGGCATGCAAATGGAAGCTCTGTTAGCCGGATTATTTAGCCTACCAAAAAGATTGCCTTCTAAATTCAACTAAAAGCAATAGATTGCTTGGTCAAATTTCATAGAAATAGGAATTACATTTTTCCCAATGATGTAAATTGATTTTCCGAACTGATAAACATTTTAAGTGAAGCTCTCCTCTATCGACTCCTCCGTTTACATTTCGTTCTGGCCAGAAACCCTCAATTAACAACTTTTAGACAAATGGAAGTGGAAAGGTAACCCAAATTAAAAACAAAACACAAGACAATGGCGAGGAAATGCTGAGGGGGAAGCCGAAGCCAAAGCCAAAGCCAAAGAAAATTGAAAGTTTTGCCGCATAACAATTAATTAAATTTGTATTCGTTGGCTTTGTGTCGCTTGTTGTGCAACACACACACAAAATATTGAATGTCAAACAATGGCAGTTGTTTGCACTGAATGGAATATTCCAACTGTAACTGAGTCCTGTATAATTAGAGCGGGACGGCCGAAGCCGAAGTCAGGTGAGTTGGAAGGACCTTGACTGATGGGAGGGTTTGGGGCGGAAGCGATGAGGTGGAAGTGTAATCGCAGACGTAAGCATAAAAACAATTAAAACTTTTGCCAAAGCCAAAGGCACAACTTGGCAATGCTGCACTGAAATAAGTTTAAAGTTTAACCTACATATAGTTTAGTTTTCGGATCTATAGGTATTACAACGAAGAATCTATTTTTTCGTACGGTGCATTCCCCTCCTGCAATTAGTTTCCTTCAGTGCCTATAAAAACGGAGTCCAACACTGCTCCTGACACTCGCCCGGAGCAGCTGACCACTCAACTCACGACAGGAACCATCGATAGTATCCACTTGAGTTCATCGCAGAAATGATTGACAGCGGGGAGCCTGCTATTGCTGGGCACTTCTACAAAATTCCCAGGCTCTCCGGCCGCATTGTGGGACTGTGGCCACAAAGGATCAGGGGCAGTAGTGGTCGGCCTTGGCACGCTCATCTGCTCTTCGTGTTCGCCTTCGCTGTAGTAATGGTAGGTGCTGTGGGCGAAGTGACCTACGGCTGTGTCCATCTGGACAACCTGGTGGTTGCTCTGGAGGCATTCTGCCCAGGGACCACCAAAGCAATGTGTGTTTTGAAGCTGTGGGTCTTCTTCCGCTCCAATCGCCGGTGGGCGGAGCTGATCCAACGCTTGAGAGTCATGCTGTGGCAATCGCGACGAGAGGAGGCACAGAGGATGCTGGTCAAACTGGCCACTACGGCCAACAGACTTAGCCTATTGCTGCTCAGCTCAGGCACCATGACGAACACCGCCTTCAACCTGCAACCTTTGATTATGGGCCTGTATCGCTGGTTCTTTGAGTTGCCGGGTCAAATTGAACTGCCCTTTAACATCATGTGAGTATCCTTGGTCTTACTCTAAAATATCACACAGTTTATGGCCAATATGCCACATTCGTATGTCGATGAAAAATACTTTCAACCAATTTGGTTAATGACGAGGAATACATAAGTATTGCTCCCTTTTCCAGGAGCACTTAAAATCTTCCATCGAATATTAATCTCGACTCCTTCTCAATTTTATCCCCCACGACAGACTGCCTGCCTTTGCCCTGCAGCCAGGACTTTTTCCGTTCACCTACGTCCTGCTGACCGCTTCCGGTGCCTGCACCGTTTTCGCCTTCAGTTTCGTGGATGGATTCTTCGTTTGCTCCTGCCTTTACATTTGCGGAGTTTTCCGGGTTGTCCAGCAGGACATTCGCAGGATATTTGCCGATTTGCATGGCGGTAAGTCTGATTCAGAGTCTGCCGTCTGTAAGATGACAATGGTGGGCTCTTGGTGAATGACTTTTCTTGGCTTATCCCATCCCAATGGCACCAGATTCAGTGGATGTTTTCACGGAGGCCATGAACGCGGAAGTGAGGGACAGACTGGCCGGAGTTGTGGAGCGGCACAATGCGATTATCGATTTCTGCACGGACCTAACACGCCAGTTCACCGTTATCGTTTTAATGCATTTCCTGTCCGCCGCTTTCGTCCTTTGCTCGACCATCCTGGACATCATGTTGGTAAGCCCTTTTACAGTGGCGTTTTTGGGCCAGTTCTTTGGGGGTAAACTAGTTTATTAACTAGTAAAAAGGTGAGTTAACTTATAAAACCCTAAACTATAAATATTTGGTAAGTGTTTAGCTATATGTATTTCCTCCTTAAACTAAAGTCCTGGAATAATATAATATTGATACTTTTTAAGAACGTAGAATAATACACAAGTTTAAAGTTTCACCAAAGTTTATCAATAATATTTGATTAATTAGCAAAGGTGAAGAATGCGACCCCTTTAGAACATTTTGTTTGCGTTCACCTCTGAAGTTTCGCATCGCCTGCATTCAGCGGCTGTTTTAAAAGTTTTTCCCTGTTTGCCCCTTGTTTGATGTTTTTCCCTGGCTTTTCCTGCCGCTTCGTTCTGATTCGGTTTTCCCGTTTTGTTTGTTTGCTTTGTGGCTGCGACTGCGGCTGCGGCCTCTCTCCGGTGGCAATTTATAAGCGCATGAATTGTTACTGCTCCCGAAAAAAGTTTTTAATGCGACTTTCGCACGTTTTCCGGTGTCCCGGACACCGGAGACCCATAAGCTGTTTTTGCTGCAACTGGCTAGCGGTGAAAATGTTCGGGAAAGGCTCCTGGCTTTTGGCCCCAATGGGATAAACGCCGCCAGCACTTTCTTCGCCGCCCTTTTGGTTGCTTCTTATAGGGCCCAAAGTGTTGAGTAATCCATTCGAAACTTGTTTATCGCTCGGGGATCCTGTGCCCAGCGATCTATTATCACTTTTTAACTGAGTTTTGTGGTGGGTGGCATGGGGAGTGAGGAAACATATCTGGCACAATAAGTTTTGACGCGTGCTCGAACTTAAAAATATATACAATTTATTGCACATTCCTGCAGTTTAGAGAGTAAAAGTTTTATGATCGATTTCGGAACGGAAAAACTGACAATGAAATAAGATTAATGGGAAGCAGTATGAGTATAGCATGAGTTAAAGATAGCAGATCTTATTAATATAAAAGGAAGTTTGTTAAAAACACTTTTTCCTTTTTATTTTCCGCCCTTTAAGCAGCCAAGAAAAACTAAATAAAACAACTTGAAAAAGAGCAAAAACAAATGCAATTTATTGCTGGCCAATCCAATTGGAGGACTTGTAAAATCGAGCAATCTCACAGCTTTATGCACTCGACGACATGCATAAGCTGCATAATTCTTTTTCAATGCCACAATGGAAATGTCAGGCGAGTGGAAAATGGGTACGAGAGGAAAAGCAATCAGAATGCAGCCGCAAGTAGCCCAAGACCATTTGCCAAAGTGCATTTCTTTGATGTTTTCCATTTTCGCAACTACTCGAAAAAAAACTCTCACACACTCACTTTATACCACTATAAATATATATATGTAGAGAAAGAGAAAAAGTATATTAAATAATCCCTTGCAGTTTTTTTTATCAGCAGCAATTCCTCTCCAATTAATGACGTCTCTTATCCTGGTCTTCTTTATTTTCATCTAATTCTCCATCTTCTGTCTCCGCAGAACACGTCGTCACTGAGCGGCTTAACCTACATCTGCTATATCATCGCGGCCCTAACGCAGCTATTCCTCTACTGCTTCGGTGGCAATCACGTCAGCGAGAGTGTGAGTAAGACTCCTGGCCATTTTCCGCGCTTTCCCGCTGTTCCACTTGCCTTGCACTGGCTCAGCCCATTTTCATTTAAACCACTCATTCGGTTTACGATACTCTTGCGATGGAGTTGTGGTCAAAGTGTGGAGAAGTTCCAAGCCCAAGGTGCTGTTTTCGATGTTTCCTAAAGACTAGAAAAATATTTTTTAATTCTTAAAACTTAAAATTTAAGAATATAAATAAGTGATTTATGGTGTCTAAAAAGGTTTCTTATTATTTTCTAAATATAACCCACCCATAAGCAAAATGAATCCCCAGAGTATCTCTTCATTCGGCCTTCCATTAATTTTATTCTTGTACTTTCCTGTTATTAGTATTTTCTCTGTGTGTTTTCATTTTTTTTTTGTTTTTACAATTCCTGTAATTTCAATTTAACGCTAAACATTAAGCAGCCAGGCGGGCACATAAAAAATGATGTGCCATTCACAAATTGCACTTGTGATAAAATTTTAATTACACAACAAACTGGAACGGGGAAGTGGATGTGGGCAGTGGGAAGTGGCATGTAACATCTACCCACAGATTCACTACCAGTTCCAGATTCCGAATCATAACCCATTCCACTGATGGTCTCTGCTTATTTTTTTCCACAGAGTGCTGCTGTGGCGGACGTGCTGTACGACATTGAGTGGTACAAATGCGATGCGAGGACTAGGAAAGTGATTTTAATGATATTGCGGCGTTCGCAGCGGGCAAAAACAATTGCGGTACCGTTTTTTACGCCCTCACTGCCAGCCTTCGGTTCTGTATGTGCTCTGTGGCGATGCGTTGATTATGATAATAAATGTTTATGTTTCCATTTCAGATACTCAGCACAGCCGGCTCATATATCACGCTACTGAAGACGTTTCTGTAAGCCTATGCGGCGTATGATTGATATACCGGATTGGATTTTGTCCTTCATTGTTTTGTTTAAATTAAAACCGGCAACCGAATGGACATTAAATTGCCTGTAAATGAAAGTGGTTGGTGGTGGTGGCGGTGGTCTGGGGGAAAAACAAGCAACAAGTGCCGCCGACAACGCCGCCTGTCCTGACCGTAATTGTTTCATTTAAATATTACTCTGATCCCCTCGTGCGGATTCCCAACTAATGAAAAACACTTGCGGCTATGGGCACATTAATTGGGTCAAAGCGGTGGATAGCGAGCGCGAGCAGTTGAAATGGATGGGGTTGCTCCATGGCGGAGACAGTAATGGCGTTTTTATGGCGCCATCTTGAGGTCTGTTGAGCTGTTTTGTTATAAAAATATTTTCGTTATTCTTTTCCCTGTGCCACAGAGAGCAGCCGCACAAATATCAATTATAATTTGTGAAATTCGAGACTGTTATGGTCGGTGAAGCTGCTGTGAATGGTTGCCAATGTTCGAGTGAAATTACTGCAAGGATTTTATTCTGAAAGACTTTAAAAGAACATTATGAAAACTGCCGAAGGAGTTTTTTAATTAAATCGAATTAAAGTGATTAGTGTTAATGTGATGGGCAGAGAATAATAATAATATAAATTATAGTTAAAATTAAAGAGATAGTTTAAAATCATAAACTCTTTTACATTCATTTAAATAAATATTCATCTGATAAGCATTTAGAGGAAATTGATTTATTTTGGCCAGGCTAATGACATGAATAAATGCATTTATACAAAATACATTTGGCATTTGCATTTCATTTTTTTCTTTGATTACTCAATTTGCATTGAGATTCGTTTGATTCGGTTGCTTCCTCTCTTTTCAAAAGGGATTCTCATGTATTTTGCATTTCTGGCAACTAATTGAGTTGTGGAAACTCATTGGAAGTGCACATTTACTAAAGTACTCACCGCCGCATTTTGGAAAGATATTAAAAGTTGGTCCGCCGAACGAAATGAAAAGCAAAGTCGTTGTTTCGTTTCAGTTTATTGTGTTGAAAGAGTTCATTCCATTGAGTTATTCATTGGGTTTTGTCATCACATAAATTATCTAAAATCTGCTTACTGGCTTACGTGTAGTAAATTCATGCCTACCCCCCACACAGTTTTACTCGCATGTGCAACACAAAACTTAGTCGAGCATGCCGCAATTGATTTAGTTTTCGCAATTTTGCTTTTCGCTTTCACATATTGCATTTCGCTTTTCGTATTTCGTATTTCGCATTTCGCATTTATTTTATTCAATTTTCATTCCCATTTCGACGTCGAGTGCCGCGTGACTAAATTTCATTTTGCCCATAAATAAATTCCATACAAGTTAGTGTTTATAATTAAGTTTTTTTTTTTTTTGCTTTTAGTTTATCAGATGAGAGTTTGTTTCTTTTACGTTCATATATATTACAATTTTCGGTTAGTAGGTAGTAAGGGGAGAGGTTTCGCTTTGGGTTTGGGTTTTTTGTTTTTGGTTTTTGGGTGAGTGTGTTGTGCTTTCTTATGTAGGACTGTCATTTCTTATAATATTTTCTTTTGTTTTCTTTTTTTTTGTTTTTTCTTGGTTAGCTTGGCTCTCTGTTAAGACAGCATGAAATGTTTATAAAGTCGATGCGTGTGCGGCTCCTTTGTGTGGAGGAGAAGCCGCAGTAATGAAATAAAATACACACTTTTATATATTTAAGTATATCTGTAAGCTGTGCCGCATCTTTGTGGTATTTACAGAGAGTGTCATCCTTCTGGTCCTTCGTCCTGCCCGAGTCCTTCCTCCTCCTCTGGCCTTTGCATTTTACATTCTGCATTTTGCATTCCCGTGCCCCGGCTCAGTGTCTCATTTTGCACAATGAAATGTAAATATTAAAAGGAAAACAAACATTCGCCTGAAAGGGAAAGCGACGGTCTTGTTTGCCTTTTCCATTTTCCATTTTCCTCTTTCCCCCCTTGGCCCGTTTTCCATTCCAGAAAAATTCTAAAAAAAAAAAAAAACAAAAAACACCAGCAGGAGGCAGCAGCACACAGAAAAAGTGCCAACGTCATGGAACATAATTCTCTCGTCCTGCTGCAATTAGAGTGCTAACAACGACGGCGACGATGATGATGGGGAGAACTTTCAGTTTCAGTTGCCAACAGCCAATACCGCTCGCAACAACAACGCCAGCAGAAGGAACAGCTGGAGCGGACCAAGGGCGCAAGGACACGCCCCGCTCTTCTGCATCGCAGCGGGATTCTCATCTGTTGAAGACAAACAATGGCATAATGAACATGTGTATTCAAATTTCGACGAGGGCACAGCCCCATTAACTATGCCAGGGCAAATAACTTAATTTAATTGTGACCTACACAGAGAACAATAAGGTTGTACAAATATTAGATGTCAAATTCAGAGAAAATGAAATGAAAATGCTTTGCTTTCCAGAGCAATTATATTTTAAAGGGATTTAAGGATCACTCTCCATTTCGAATACAATATGAATATCTGATTTAACGTCTCGTTTTTCACCATGCAGCTCTGGCTCTGACTTTGAAGTGGAAAATGATAAATGGTAAATGGTAACTGGTATGTGGAGCAGGAACAGTGACAAGCACAGGGGCAGGAGGGTTGTTTGTCCCGACTAGATAAATGACATATGTGTGTCTGCGTATACGCAATATTTCTGCGGCCGTTCTCGCCCATAGCAAATGTTATTCCAGGCGCATCATTTGTCAATGCTTTGTTTTGACTCGTCAGAAAGGATATGTATGGCCACGCCCCTTACCATTCTCGCACTGATTTTTAAGGACCGAGGAAGTGGGTATGAGAGCAATGAGTAATGGGTGGAATATGCTCTGCGAGGGAAGGGTATCCATGGGGGTCTATAAATAAGTTGCGAAATTGGTTTTCCATTTCAGCGAAATCAGTTTTTTCTTTTGGTAGCAAGAGGAATGGGAATTGGTAGAAATAATTCATAGATTTGATTGCTTAATACAGTTTTCTAAACTTATATTCGATTTTTATAATAAATCAGGAAAGCAAAATCATTCCTGGTTGTTGACTTATAAAACTCATGAATTATGCCCTGAATTAGTCACGCACTCTCTGATATTCCCTAAAGGGCATCTCCCAGGTCGCCATTACCCCGCCTAGACCAGCACTTCGACCTTATCATTTTTCTTAAAATTTTATTGCCTTTGATTTATTATCTGTATTTATGCAAGCCGTCACAGAGACCCAGTCACAGTCGCAGTCACAGTAGCTCCTCTTCTAGGTCCTGTCTGCTATCTGGGCTCCCATTGCCACCGCCCCTCCCACACCAAAACCCTACTCGCGGCCTTTATGCCACATGTGGGGCATGATTAAGTGCCTTTTTGCAACTTACTTCTGACATTTAATCATATTTATTACGGCTTTGCCAACGTAGGATGAGAATGGTGTGACGGTGGACGATGGCTGGCTCTTTAAAATGCAAATTCCAGTCCGTACAACAATTTCATTTGAATAAACAACTTAACAACTTAAGTGCTGGACATTTCGCTTAACATTTGATACTGCATAAAAAACTAAGACTACGAACGAAATGGCTGGGCCTTCAATTTGCTGCGAATGTCCTGCCATAAAAGGCCATAAAAAACAGTGGAAATTGCCGGACAAAAGACGCGTCAAGTTTATGCCCCTCATTTCGCAGCTTAAAATGTCTTAATTCCCGTCTAATTTATGTGTAAAATATGCAAAGCCAAGTCAGTGAGTTGCTGCTAAGGCCCTACCAGCCGCATTACTCATACGCCAAGGAGGCCACCAGGCAACTCCCCAAACAAACAGTCGTCTAGTATAATGGAGTGAGGCCAAAACTTTTAGTTTTTAGGCCGTGTCTGTGAGTGAATGCCTTTGGATACAGTGCCAACCATAAAATTATTCACTTTTCTCAACCTAGCAAAGGGCTGTGCTAAATGATAGTTAGCTTTTGGGAGGAGTTAACTTCTCTTAGAGAAGCCCTTGCCTTTGGCTCTGGCACAGCAACTTCTGGCTGACAGTGTAACAGATAGGCTTATGCCGACCTGGCCAGCACCTGAGACGGAAGTCAGAAGCTGAGTGCACTGGAAGAAATTATCAATGAGTTTGCCTTCTTAAATAGTTTTAAACCTTTATGGGTTAAAATGAAAGTCTTCATTTTAATAAAAAAAACTAACTCAATGTTATTCTCAGTGTAGGCCACATTCGCTCACTCATTTCCAGGACTTACCATTAATCACATGGACCAGGACACTGGCGCTGCTGGCCGTCGTTGGCTGACACGTGTAGTTGCCGGTGTCCGTGGTCTGGGCATTCGAGATGCGGAGCCTGCGGAGGATTAAGGGGAACACACTGAAAACAACTCAATTACGGTCAGGGGTGGTAGGGAAACCCACCTGGACTTCAGGGTATCGCCCAGCTGCGATTCCATGGCAATGCGGGTGGCAAACTCCTTCTGCAGGTCCACCTCACTCATTATGTCATTCAGGGACGAATCCTCGGGAATAGTTTGAGGCAGATCCTTTCTGCCAACTGGAATTTCCGGTGGACCATCATCTGCGTCAAAGGGTGTGATCATATGTTCGCCACGATACCAGTAAATCGGTCCAATATCCTTCACCGACGGCTGTTGGACCAAACAGTTAAGGATTATGGCACTGCCAGCCTTGAAGTGCAGATCGTGTGGACCACTGATAACCGCCTTGGCATCCGGTGAGATTTCTACAGAAAAACAAACCATAAATGAATTGAAAACACGCATCCTAGGTGGGAAACCAAAATCAATTTGGGGCAATCGCTCGTAAAGCGAATTTGCAACCAACTGAATGCACATAAAAACTTTTAATCATAAAACTTTATGGAATAACTTTTCAATTGCACTAAATTTAAGTAAGCCCAGGAAAATGACTGGAAGGGGGAGGTTGTGAGGTGGCTTCTGGCTGCTCGTTGCTGGTTGCTGGTGAGAAAATCACACCAGACACGTAAATAAACTTATATCTGGCAGTATGTGTGTGTGTGTGAGCGGCACATAGCCACATGGAAAGTCACATACGAGAAGCTGCTTCTGCTGCGAAACTGGGTTAATAATAATATTTATTATGCATTGGACTGTGCAAATAATAATAATTAAAAAATATACCCAAAAACAGGAGACACGCGTGGCCAAAATGAAATAAAAAGGATCCGCCGCGGCATACAGTGGGTTAGAAATTCCATCGAAGTTGCTAAGGGTTAAGTCGTTATCTTTAAGGTTTTAGTTAGTAACATTTATATATTTTTTTATTTCTTTTCCTTAGAAAAGCTCATAAAATATATGTGTTTTTATGATTTTTAATATTTTTTATATATTTTTTAGTACGTTGCTGGTACGTTCCTAACCCACTGTGGCCACAGGCGTGCGGACCAGCTCATAAAAGTGCATATGATGATGATTACATGGGTGGCAGGAAGCTCAGGGTGGGTTTTTGGGGGCATCAGGGGTTAAAGTGTCTGCTGGAGATCTCGCTATTCCCTGTTCCACGTTGCACTCCCCCTTTTATCCTTGCCTTTTTTCCGTCTGTTTGTTTGCGTCTGCGGCATATGTGTGCAAAGTGTGAGTTAAAAAAAATCCCATTGCGCCATTAAGTGCGTATGTATTTGTATCTGCCTTCAGCCACGCCCCCTTTACTGAGAGTGTTTGTGCAGTGTCACTGCGTTAAAGGCAATTAACACCCGGCAGCGACGAGCATTGGGAAAGGGAAAATCCAGAAAGAGACGGAGACAGTCAGCTGCAGCAACAATTTTCTCCACTATATATATTTTTTTTTGTTTTTTTCGTTTCATTTCAGATTTTCATTTTTCCTTCATTTTTCAGCAGCTGTCGCTAAAGTTCTGCGTGCATTTTGTGTGGCGGCGCATGAAGTTTTTTAATTTAAATATTTCATGAAAATAAAATGCAACGCGACCTGCCAGCAGCAACAACAAAACTAGAAGCTGCGCCAAAACGTGCTAAGGTCAAATGTTTGTAATTACCACTTAGAGAGGCATGGAAATAGAAATGGAATCAAGGCAATGGCCGTATTAAATTCTAGTGAAATCCTGATGAGATTTCAAATGGTGTAGAAAACTAAGCTATACAGAAAAGTTGGGAAATAAAATAAATAAAATGTAAAGATCAGGCATACTTTCTGGGAAATTTCTAACCATATTTATCATGATATGTTTCCCTTTATACAGTAAATAATATAATGTATATCCTATGTATAAGCAGTGGGTTGCAATAGTCATTGGGGGCTATTTTTATGATTAAGTCCTTAAATTTCCTTTGAAAGGAATGCTTCCTGCTCCTGTGTTTTGCAACATTTTGCAGGGAAACTTATTCATTCTAACATGTGCTTCTTTGTGGCCGCTTGCTGCCTTTTTTTAAAGATTTTTGCTGAAATTGTTGACTTACAATAGCTCTTGTATCATCTACTAGCAGTTTGCGTAACCACGCCTTGAACTAACTACTTTGCACCCAAGCATCCCGAAAAATCTGTTTATATTGGACTTTCGGACATTTTACCACTCGCTTTTTTAAAGTTCACAACTCCAAGTGATTTCTGGCAACACTTTAGCCAACATATCGATATTCGATGGCACTATCGATTAGAAATATGGTCACGATCATATGAAACACGCATAACCATCGGCAAAAAAAGAACAAGCTCCGATATTATCATTCCATAAAGCATATTTTTCTTACGAAGCAACGCGTTAATGACGTAAATACATTTAAAGCTAGAATATGCTAGATGAATTTTAAAATAAGCTATATTTCAAGCTATAAGCTAGCTCGGGAGTTTTCAAGCTTTTCCAGTTCAAAATATGCTAGAACTAGCTTATAAAAGCTAAACTGGCAACAATGATAGGGTGTGTTTTTTTTTTAGAGGATTAGAACTTAACAGTTGTCAAGTGAATTATTCTTAGCTTGTTTTGGCAATTCATCATGAATAGAATCGCACAAACAACGCTGGCAAATAGTGAAATTTTATTTCGAACATAATGGTTCTGTGCGGAATACGTATCGCGAACTATGTCCTTTTTATCGTCCACAAAATCGTCTATCAGAGCAGTTAATTCGATTAACCGTGGAACGTTGAATTGGCCGCCAAGATCTTGACTAGACTACTTTCTGTGGGGCTATGTAAAGTCATTGGTCTACTCGGATAAGCCACAAACGCTTGACAATTTGGAAGATAGCATTCACCGTGTTATTGCCGATAAACGGCCACAAATGTTGGAAAAAGTCACCGAAAATTGGACGTCCAGATTGGACTACATCCGAGCCAGCCGTGGCGGTCATATGCCAGAAGTCATATTTATCTTTCGAATGAAAAAAATTCAGGTCAATCCAATAAACCATCGTTTTTTATTGAAATTTAAAGTTCTTTACCTCAAAAATAGAACACCCTTTATAAAAAGTCGCTCTTGGAAAATTCGCACACCTTCTCGCAAAGCGAAATTCTTTACGTTCTTTTAAAGGATTAAGCAATCAATTACGCTGCTAATTGCTGATGAAATATGTTTTATATATATTTCTTAAATTAAGCGCGCATAAATACAACCTTTTAAATTGCCATCTTAGGGCATACTTTATGCATATTTATTTTGGATACTTTATGGAATCATGGGTGAACGTACCACCCCAAGCAGAATTTATATCACGCATAAATCTTTTTTCCATGCAAAATACAAAAAAAAATGAGAAAAACTGCGTAACGTTGAGGGAAAAATAAAATCGTTTGGGTGGGACGCATAAATTTACATAATGACATTAATTAAATGCAATGCACCGCAACAACGAGGCAAGGAGCCACAGGAGCAGAGGCAAAAATAAAAAATAATAATAAAAAAAAAAAACAGGAAGAACGACAGAGAAGCAAAGAGTTAAGCGCCTTGCGAAAGTCACTCATACGACACGTATGCCGATAATGTTATTAAGGACGCAGCCAGTTTGCCAAGCTGTCACCACTGTCCAACTGGGTGGTGCCCAATGTCCACTTCGCTGCTGTCAAGCTCCCCTTTGGAAATTGTTTCATTAACGTAAATTAAAATGCATACGGCCATGAAGAAAATGTAATCGGAAATTCGTTTGTAAGCGTCAGAGCAGGAAATCAGGAAACGGGCCAAAAAGGAAAATAAAGCACTGACAGGCGAAACAAAAATGCATTGCGCCCAAGTGCATAATCGGAAACTTAAAAAGGCATTGCCGACTGATTTGCATAAGTGGCTGACAGCAGATGCCGACAGGACCTGTCACCAGCTCACCAGCCCAACCCTCCTGACTTGTCCTTTACAACTCCTTTACTTCATTTAACACCCTTAAGGACACTATTTTATCTACTCTGTCTGTCGAGTCTTAAATTGGCAGCGATTTAAAGACCAAACAATTGCCATCTTAATGGCAATGCCTTAAGCCTCAAAAGTAACTTCAAATCCCATTAAAATCAATATGCAAATTGATTGTTTTTTAAACGGATTGAGATTACGAATTAACGGCGACACAATGAGGCAATCACCGGATCCAAGGAATTACATTATGTGTAGGTAATTGTGTTTTTGAAAAGGGAGGGGAGGACCATTACCCCATTTTCCCATTTATCAAAAGAAGGACGTCTAATAGGGGGGTTGTTTGAAGAGGAAAAGCTTGTGTGGGATAATCTAAGAGTTTTCTTTTAAAATAATCTAATTCGCCAGCTGGCGATACAGTAAAATACTTCCTAGACTCTCTTCTAACTTCTTTTCATTTATGCATTCCATAAATTTAAATCATATAATTAGTAAAATTAACTTATAATCCCATCACCCTTGCCACCTACTAGAGGACATGCATACCATTATGCCATTTCGTAATCAGACCATCATCAATTAATCATTACCGGTGGCTTTCGGAGTCACTAATGCAGACAATAGACATTGTTTTCGATGCGGCACAGGAAACCGAACGGCTGACACACTGCCAGCTAATTATATGCGGACACACGCATTATGCATGGCTCATTAAAACACTGAATACATTTCCAATCGGTGCCCGTAATCCCGTCGGGTTGACATGCTAATTAACTCAGAGGCTCCGGCAGCATGCAAACTCCCATCGAGCAACGAAGTCCTGGGGGCTAAAAACCATGAGCAGCAGGAGCAAGAGGGGGAAGGAGTAAGAGCAGGATCACAACCAGACCAGAAGCCTCGACCTCGGTTTTTATTTGTTTATTTATTTATGGGCCGAAATGTGAAATTAAAAATGTATGCCTAGAGGCGGTCGAACTGAACAAAACGGAAGCCCTCCCGGAGATCGGATGAAATAATGATTATTGCGAGGCAGAGAAATGAATTAACATTTTTAATAAACCCAACGGCGACAAAGTAAACATGCCAGACCAAAAGAAAAATAATCAAACCGTAAATGAAATTCATTTAGAAATATGTAAAGTAATAGAGAGAGAGAGATCCCCAACCTACTCACCTATGATATTCAGCTGGAATGCCATGGACATTTTGGGCTCTGTGTTCACCTGACACTCGTAGATGCCGCTGTCCTTTGCCAGCGGGGCTTTCACATGGAGGGTCCACTCTCTCGAATCCTTCGATTCAGTCACCTGCCATGGACACAATTTTCAGTTTCAATTGCAGTTTTATTTAACAGTTTACAGATTTCAGTTTTCATTATTCGTCTGGCAGACAGTTTTTCAATTCAATTCGTCGTCCTGTCAGTCTCGGCGGAATAATTATTCGTTTTTAAGGCAACAATTTGCAAGCCAGCAAAATTGTATTTCCATTCAATTGGGTATTTTATTTTTTATTTTCTTGTTTTTAATGGAAATTAAGCAATTATACAATCGAATGTTTGTTTGTTTGTTTGCTTGTTGGTTGGTCGTTGGGTTTGCAAACTGCAGCACAGTGGCTGCGGACTTGACCTGAGTTATGAGTTGGATTAGCCATTGAAATATCGTTTATGCATGCATAATGAAAGTGGCCTTATGGCCATAATTCCCCCTGAGAGCCGGAGTTAACTTTTACATTGTGGCTGATACTGGGTGGAAAGTTTATCGGGATTTGTTATGTTTGCAGCTAATCTGTGGGTGGATCTGGGGATTTCATTTGGTTTATTGATATAGATTTCCAGGTAGTTCACTCTCATAGCTGTTGTTATACAAATAAGCTGGCCTGCTAGTCCAGGGAATCAAAATAATTACCTATACTTGTTATGGGTAACTTAAAACCTTTTTTAAAATCCCTTTTCGAACCTTGAATGAACTTATATCTTTTGACTTTTCACTGGAATTAAACCTTTTAACATATTCCCCTTGAAATAAAATACAATCTGCAATCTACTTAGCCCAACTTTCGCGTAAGGAAATCATCTCCTGTCCTGATCACATTCAATTTGTTAAGTCTCCTTGAGTATCTTTCTGGATATTATTTTCCCCCTTTCAGTCCTCATCTGCTGGCATCAACCCACAGTGCCGACTGACTTTGAGGCCCCGAGTTAACCATCGTATTCAATTAGTAAACGAATACATGATTCCCCGAGCCCAGGCCCAGATGGCCCCACCTGGAATCGCTTGTCCGTGGTGTAGGTGGCGGTGCCGACGGTCAGGATATGCAGATCACGTTTTCGTATCCAGGATACCTGTTGAGCGGCCAGGGCGGAGGGTAAAAGGGGAATAAAAGGAGAGAAAGAAATTTGATTAACGAGTGCCCTTCCATATGATATACTCAATGTCCTTGGCACGCATCTTCATCACAGCTTTTCCCGCTGGACTGGCTGGGGGAGGGTATATACTCGGACTTGAACTCACCGATTTATCATGGAGACTGTCCACGCGGCATTTAATTATGGCCTCCGTGTGGCCAGTGCGTCCGGTGATGTTGCGCGGCATGCCAAAGTCGAAAATTGGCAGCGACTGCGATGAGTCCATGTCCTGGGCTTCCCCATCTCCATCGCGCTCTCTTTCCCTTTCCGTATCTGTCTGGGCAAACAGTTCGGAGCCAAAGGACGCGTCCAGGAAGGCTAAACTCTTGAAAGTGTGATTCGTGGCTTCCGTTTGTGGCCCGTTCGCCACCGCAAACGATGAAAAACTGGTCGGGGATGATGATGCTGCTGATGGCGATGGTGATGATGACAGGAATGTCGACAGGGTTGGGCCATCACTGGAGTCATCCGGTTTCCCAGTGGCGGCAGCCGCCGCGGCAAGACCTGCGAAAAGGAACAAGGGAACTGGGTGAGCAGGCGTCATGGAAAAACAGGAAAAGGATGAAAATCACTTGGAAAAAAAATAGGTACTTCAATTTGCATTTAGACACTCGGCAGAAGGACTTGATATTGAATAAAAGAATTCTATAAAATATTTTTCTTATATCTCTGTACCTCTACAAAGCAAAAACTGTAACATTCACCACCTTCACTTCCTTTCAACTTTCATAAACCTAACTAAACTTTATTTTTGCCTCTGTAAGGAGTTTGGCCGCCCTGCCTTGTTTGGCTCCGTTTTCTTGTTGGCCAAATGAATTTATAACTCGGTCGGCTACCCCCTTTCCCTACGGCCATTCATCTTTCTGGGTCTTTTGATTTGATTTGTAACCACTTTGGCCACAACTTTCTGCTGCTTCCCCTCTCCTATGCCGACCACAAAGTAACTTCAATTCAATTCACTTTCATCCTGCCTCTTCCGCCCGCAACTCGCACAATTTAAGCAAATAAATTCTTATTTCTTTTTTTTTTTCCTTTTTGGCTTAAAGCTGCGGGCCGCGTACAATTTGCATTTAATTTATTAGCGTGGAGAATTTTTATACGCCGCTGCATATGTGCATGGAAAATATTTTGCATATCAATTCGGCTTCCCATTTTTCGCGGCGACAATTTAAGCGAATCCAAAGAGCCAAAGTGACAAATTCAATTTGTGAGCGCAACAAAACAATAAACGGGCACAAAAATGGCAAAAATAATGTGCAACAAGCTAAAAATAAAGTCAAAACGAAATATAAAGCAACCGCCATGTTGTCTCGACAGCAGCGACAGCAAATATTTGCAAATATGCCAACTACAAAATACAAAACAAAAAAGTAAAGCAGAAAAAAAAATTACTTTTAAATTCAAATCAACAGGGAATTTGATGTGGACGAGAGTTAGCACCAAAGAGGAGGGGCGGCTTGGCGGAGTCTGCGGAAGGCAGAGGGAAAATGCCCAGCTGAGAGCTGGAAAATTGGGGATATTGGATTGAGTTTGAAGTTGGGAATAAAGTTGAAATAGAATTTTACAGAGCTTCCTTTTGGGCATTTCAGGCTAGAAAGTTTGGCGGGCACTTAAAATAGGCTTCTTAAATGTATTTTACCTTGACTTCCAAATTCATGACTTTAAAGTGTTGGATTTTCCTAGCCCAGAAAGCTCCTCTTTGCCTATACATTCCTCATTTTCACATATTACTTCCCTTCTTTTAAACGCACATTCCCATAAATTGAATCGAAACATTTTTCTTTATACATCTTACACCGCCAGCTGCAGCTTATTTAATCTTGTTTCTATTTTCACATAATTTTCAGTCAATTCTTGGGATTATCCAGCCTCGTCCTTCGCTCTGGCGACCTTCTAGGGTATCCTGGCATTCGTCGGCCGCCGCCGAACCCATGTTTTATGCGTACACTCGAATGGAGAGCTCTGGCAAACAAACTTTTTATTTTGCTGCGACCTACTTAAAGGTTCCACCCACTGCACCCAATCCCCTACCAAAAGTTCCCCCCAGTCGGCTGCCGACTGTGAGTCGTCTGGGTTCACCACATGAGGTCATGGAAAATGCTTTCCGTTTGTTGTTTTTCTTTATGCGCTGCTGTAAAGTAAAGTAGCAAATTTGTATTTTATTGTTTGTCGCCAACAAGAAAGCGAGTATGCAAAAAGAAAATAAAATAACAGAAACCTAAAAATCTGCGTCTGCCAACGCTGCGAATGAGTGATTTCTCCTTCACCCGCGAAGTGGAATTTGTTCCACCTAAATGCTCAAAGGAAAGGGAGATTCTTGGCCATTTTACACGCCAGCTGCAGCAGTAGCAGCAGCAGCTGTGAAAGCGATTTTCCATCAATAACTTCATCATTGGCATGCCATTTTCCATGCCATGCCATTCCGATGAGGAACCGCTTCAAAGTTTGTGGATGAAACGACCACAAAAACTGCGAAACTTGCTAAACAAATTTAAGCAAATAAAAGAGCAGTGAGCTCTGTTGTGTGTGTTTTCCGGGCTACTTTTTTCACTAAGCCGCAAAGCTTTTTTTGAGTATTTCCTTTACCAAATTCATTCTTTTTTTTTTTGCCCTGTTTGACGAGCCTATTTTTGGGTGGGAATCCCGGCTAGTGCCAGAACCCAAAAACTGATTTTGCAGTGCAGCCAAAGGCGGCTAAAAGTTGGTCGCCGCGTTTTGTGTTTTTGGCCAATGTTTGCTGTAGGTCGCGGCACGCCCACTTTTCCACAACGCTTGCGGGCTCGTGGTGCAGGACCTCCTCATCCTCTAGCCTCACACACACACACACACACAGCTGCCACAAGTGTTTCCGAGAAATATTCGTGCTGCGCCTGCAGCGATTCGTGTGCATTTGGCAAAGCACTTAAAATGACAAAAATAACAGCAAAATACTAGACAAGCGAAGCAAACAAAAGGAGCGAACAGGAGGTGGATCCTGCCAAACATTTGAATGTGCACTAGATGTTCCAACAATCCTTTTCAATGCGGTATCTGGTATTTTGGTTTTGGTTTTCGGTTTGACAAGCTCTACCAAGATGTAGATTCTCCTAGGGGTCCTAATGGAGTCAGTTAACCCTGTTGAAGGTATACCTTAACTCTGTGTGAGGGTGGTTAACCCTTAGATGTTTTTGTTTCTAATGAAAAGTAGATGAAGTTGTCTCAGGAACAATACTTTTCCATATTTATTGTACTTTTTCAAGCTACATTGATTAACTCTGTAACTTGTATTATTTTACAAATCGAACGAATTCCCCCCAGATAAACTCTTTAGAGAACACTATTTGTATCCCCACTGTTGACAGCATGTTCTATTTAAAGAGCCGAGTGCCGAGTGTCGAGCCAAACAAAAACTGTCGCCTACTGTCAAGTCTGGGAAACGGGATGATAGCTCTCGGGGTTCGACGTTCGAGGTCCGGAAGGGAAGCTGGGGGAGGAAAAAATAAAACAAGAAAATAAATTGAAATGGCAGGCAATTGAAAACTACCCACGGATTTGTCAGACTCTGTCTGGCTTAGCGCCACATAAGCATATACAATTTTCATTTTCGGATATGAATATACAGCCAACGGATGAAAAAATTGGGACTGACAGTCGGAGCGAACGGAAATTTCCCTTTAAGACGACGCAAATGTCAAGAGATTGGACAGGGTTCAATAAACGCTGCCATGGATTCAACTGATGCCTGCTCAAGAAATCTGATTATTTATGAAGTGCCTCAGCCGGGGTGGTCCATGAGGTCGCGGCAGTCCCAACGGAGTGGCAAGTGTCTATAAAAATAGCAAAACACCAGACGAATTATAATGAGTCCGGGACTGGGTATACTCGGGATCACGTTCCTTAGGATTCACGTGGTGTGTGTGGATAGGTGGCAGGACCTCGAATCCTGTCCGCTCATTGTCATCGTTAACACTCGTGTAATGTCGGTCATAAAGACCAAGTTTCTCCTCGCTTGCCTACAGCAATTAAAGGCGTGTTCATAGAATGCGGATGGAGGTGGGTTTTCCGAGAGATTTACATAATGCCGCACAATATGGCCGAGGATGGCAACTATTTTTACATGCCCATAATTTGATGACGACAATGTCTTGGCATAACAATGAGATGCGGCTCGGGGCCTCATGTAAATTTCATTTTGCTGACTTTAAGGATCTCCCGGCTCAGCAGCGCCCTTCACAAATACACACACACACTCGTATTTTTCCAGCCCAGATTTCAGTTTTATTTTCTTTTTTTTTTTGCTAGAGAGAGCGGATTTGTTTCGTGTGTGAAATCGAGCGTGAATGTTCAACGTAAATAAAATTCAATTTGGCATTTTCCTTTTAACTCAATTTATGTGTCAAGTGAAAGTGGATTTGACTCGGACAAACATTGTGTGGCCATTTGGCATGTCCCGTATCAAAGTTATAAATGAATTTATAGCCAGCTCTCTCTCTCTTCCATCCTCTATACAGATCCCACTGCAAAATTAATAGCATTTGTGCGCCAGCGTATTGATTGAATTAACCCAACCAACAATAATATTTCAACCCAAAAAAGGGGTTTACAGCTGTATAGCTATCAAAAGTAGAGACCATTGAAATGCCATTTAATTGATGCAATTTGATGGTTACATTTCACCCGAAAAAACTGTCGATTAACTCGCCACTCAGGTGAACATATTTAATCCATTTACTCTGGGGCAGCAGGTGAGCAGATTAAATGCTGTTAATAATTTGGACCTAAGTTTGAATTGATTTTCATTCAGTTTAATATCCAGTTGAACGCACAAATGTGTATTGGGTGTCAATTATATGGTCAAAATGGGCAAGTTTATTAAATGATACTTCATTTGGGTAATATTATTGTTGCAAATTTAACAAGAAATACTAGAAAATATGGAAAAAATCCAGTCTTAACTGATTTTTCATGTCCAAGATAAAACTCACTCAACTTGTTGCTTTCCATCTAAGACAAAAAGAGAATTTCCCAGAATCAGTGCTCTCATATTTCCTTCTAAAACTCATATACAGTTCCTTTTCGGATTGATTCATGATTAACCAGCTCCTAGTCCAATTTCGTAAAGGCCAAGTCAGTACTCAATCCAAGCCGTAGGGAGTCATATCCGTAATCCAGTCTTCCTCTGTCCTGCTTGGATTCCTCATGCAAACGCAAATTGAAGCAAATGCTACAAATAGTTCCCCGAAGAATCGATTTCGAAAAGACAGCTCGAAACATTTTTGTGGCCAAAACCAGACAGGCACAGACACAGTCTCGCACACACACACACACACACACACACTCATACTTTGAATGTAGAGACCCACATACGCACCGTTAGACAAATTTCACATAATCAATTTTGGTTTTAGGCCCATGGCATTCGTTGTTTTTGGGAGAGATGGAGCAGAGATCGGAGGAGCGATTGGACCAAGAGCCGAGAGCTGAAGCTTCAGCTGCTGATGGATGTCTCTGGAGCAATACATCAA